GATAACAGGGTACCATGCCCAGTACTGCACCGGGTTCACCAGCAGGTCCAGGTACCTCGCCCGGTAGCGCGTCTCCTGGTCCTTGAGAATGTAGTGCTCGGGGTTGCGAGGCAGACCAGGCGCCCAGATAGCAACAGTGGGGGTGGGGCCCTGGGGGAGTGGAAAGAGAGGGGGATAAGGGTTGGGGTAAAAAGGCGAGACATTGCCCCCAGCACTGCGCGCCTTGAGAATGTAGTGCTCGGTATTGCGCAGCAGACCAGGCGCCCATATGGCAGCTGTAGGCCCTGAGGAATGCAGTGGGAGGAAGAGGGTGGGGATGGAACGTTGAAAAGGAGGCAGGGATAACAGGGCACCACGTCCGGTACTGCACCGGGTTCACCAGCAGGGTGAGGTACATGGTACTACTGCTGCTAATGCTGAATACTCTTCCTGGGTGGGCAGTATGTGCAGATACAGCGCCAGCACGACACAATTTGAGGTACGAAAGGGCATCCTTCCATAACACTAACGTCAGCCTGAGCAGCAGGGCAGCAGCACCACCAGCAGCAGCCGCGCCTGGTGCCTTCTTCTTCTCCTTGGATGTGCAGGCAGGGCGCCAGCATAGTACAATTAAGGGTACAAACAAGCCCAGCAGCAGCGGCAGGGCCAGCAGCAGCGGCCTGAGCACCAGCAGCAGCGGCCGCACCTGAGGCCTATTCTCCTTGAGCATCATGTGTAGACAGGCGCCAGCATAAGACGTTTCAGGGTAGAAAGCGCCATCCTTCCATTCACTCACATCAGCCTGAGTGGCAGCAGCACCAGCAGCAGCAGCCGCACCTGGAGCCTTTTTCTCTTTGAGCATCATGTGCAGACAGACAGTGCGCCAGCAGGACACCTTTGAGGGCACAGAGGGCCCTCCTTCCCGTTACTTACATCAGCCTGAGCACCAGCAGCAGGGGCAGCAGCACCACCAGCAGCAGCAGCGCCTGGAGCCTTCTTCTTCTCCTTGGGCATCATGTGCAGACACGGTGCCAGCACGAGCATGCTGCGGGGAAACACACTCAGCTCGCCGCGCTTGCTCTTCCCGGGGAAGCCAGAGATGCCCACGATGTCTCCCCGCTTCACAGTCCCGTGCAGGCGAGTGAACTCCTCCTCCCCTGCCTCCCAGTTCCTGCCGACACAGTGTGATGGGTGGCACAGGGAGAAGAAACAACCAACACGCTCAGCTCGCCACGCTTGCTCTTCCCAGGGAAGCCTGAGATGCCCACGATGTCACCGCGCTTCACTCTGCCGTGCAAGCGAGTGAACTCCTCCTCCCCTGCCTCCCAGTTCCTGCATTGACAAGTCACAAGAGGGATGAGGGAGGACAGGCTCAGAGAGGGAGGACAGAGAGAGGGAAACGCTGCGTGCCAGCGTGGACCTAAGCACTGTTGTTTGTATCCACCTGAGCTGAGGTATGCCTCAGCAGCACTTAGAAAAAAACAACTGAACCCTTACCTAGCATCAGCCATGACTTGCACTTTGCAGCCGTCCGCATGAAGGTCATAAAAGACAAGCCGGCCGCCCGACGCCGCCCGGCGCATGACGCGGCCGGCGAGCGACACCTGCTCATCCGGCAGCTGCTGTCCGCTTTCCAGATTGGAGTACTTGGCTAAGTACTCTGGCAGGCGCGTGGACACGTGGAACTTGTGCGGGTAGGGGTTGCCTCCTGCTGCCTGGATCTCTGTGACGTATGCCAGACGGTTCTCATGGTACTTCTGTAGATGTGTACATGTGGAGTGGGGGTAAACCGGGGAGGTGTAGAGCGGAGGTAGAGAGAGGGGGCGGAGGCATGGAAAGGAGTCAAGATTGCCATCTGCTACTTGTATGTGTGCAATGTAACGGCTCCTGTGGCCACTTTTCAGACGTCTCAAAAGTCTTTTGAGACGTCTCAAAGATTGCCGTCTGCTGCTTGTATGTGTGCAATGTAGCAGCTCTTGTGGCCACTTTTCGAAACGAGATGGTGTAGAGAAGGGAAAACGGTGTGGAATTGTGGGGTTAACACAGAAGGCAGTGCCACCACGGGAGGTGTGAAGAGTAAGGATTGCTCCTCTTGGTGCCTAGGTCTCTGGGAGAAATCATCATCAACATCAACAGTCCGAGAGGTATAATTATTTAACTCACATTGGGGTCCTCCTCTTCGTCCTCTTCTGCAGCCTTCGTCTTTGCCTTGTCCCCGCCTGCGCCTTGAGCAGCCGCCTTCTCTGCCTGCCAATGCCAAGGCCGATAACAAAGCAATATTGATGTATGTTATGTCAGCGTGAATGTGAATGTGGCGAATGTCAATGTCAGTGACAATATTATGTCGGACAATTGGAGTGAGAGCAGACACGAGGACACCGAAACGCCATGCGACGATATTTAACCTAAGGACAATGTTACATTTTTCCACGCAATTCCATGGCATGGCATGGCATGGCATGGCAACCTTCTGTACATCCATGGTGACTAACTTTACTTACATCCTGACAAGGATGCTGGCATACGTACCAAGCGTCTGTACTGAAATTCACGATGAGAACCTGTACCGGCATCCATGACGAGCTCTTACATCGACATCCGTAACAAGCATCTATACCGACAACCAGCATGGCATGAATTACGACATACGCGAGACACTCGTACCTTAAGCCGATCCTTCTCCTCCTTCTCTTTGGCCTTCTGTTCCGCCTTGAGTCGACGCTTCAGCTCACTGCAACGTGACAAAATCGAAGTGTCTACTGAGGGAATACGACGACGCAAATGCGGTGTGTGATGCAACTAGATTCGAAGCGGGCTCGCAATACGAAGGTACAATGTGCAATTGTTGCTGGAAATAACTGCAAAGTTTAACTCGCTGGCAACAGGACGCCATTTAGCTAGTTGACGAAACCAGCCAATTATAGCATCTTGACGGGAGGGATAGGGTTTATAAAGGCGTCGCTCCCACGAACCACCCAAAAACAAGTGATTTTTCTTCTTTTTAGAAAATGGAAAATACCTCTTGCTGATTTTCTCCCCCCCATCAGCTGTGACTTGTTCTGCGTCAGCAGGAGCCGCAGTCGCCGGATCAACAGCAGGATCAGCCATTAGCAGCTGTCAACAGTTTCAAGCAACTGCTACAGCGTAAACTGCCGAAACCTGGACGGAAGCACAGCTAGAGCTGGCAGCGACCAGGCAGTCAGTGTTAGCAAAGCAGAGCCAAATTATAGGAGCAGCTGATCAAGCCAGCAAGCGGAATGAGGTGCTCCCAAGGGAAAGCAGGAAGTTCCCCAGGGTTGAGAGTGCGGTTGTGGATGGTCGCACGGGCTTTTTTGGCAAAGTTGTTTCGATAGTGACTGCTGCTATTCAACCCGTTAAAATATCCTTGAAATCGGTGGTTAGACAAAACAACTCACTGGAAATGGCATGAGGCATAACTTCCAGCTTATGTTTCCATGATAATGTGACAATTTTTACCAGCGCCACACTTTATTTCATAATAAATAAAAAACAAACGGTTGCAACTCCATTACGTCCAAAACCACGTTCAACTCGTGGGGCTGAGACGATATTGGCTGTCGAAACAAGAATGGAAGGAAGAAAACGAAAATAAGGGGGGGGGGGGGGGGAGGGAAAATGTAATTGGCAAATGAACATAACGCTCACCCACCCAAAAGACATCGGCATTCCAATAGATAGCATGAATCATCATGCAATCATTTTTTTCTCTCTCTCTCTCATACTGAATTCATGTGAGAAACGATGTTTATGGGATGTTAACTGGTAGAGTGACATGGCTAGAGAATTTTAATATTCATACATACTATTATGCTAGAAATAATAATATATATATATATATATTCATGATAAAACATATCTTATGTTCATATAAACTCTGTAAATGAAACTGTATCCGCTAGGTTCGTGATGTCAAAATGCTGCGTTATCAGATGCTCTGGTTTTTGGGCAGCTTCATGGCCATGACTGCACGTCCATTTTGATGCCAGAACGCATGGGCAAATGGGCAACGTGATTGATTTGCTTGAAGCGAATTGGACCATCAACGAAAAGAACGATGATCGAGCGAATCCGTTGTGCGAGCCGCTCCTGCTGTTGTGGCTGCGCGTCGCACCGCATCCCGCCGCGACCTCTCGTCACATTGCGATGCGACACCTTCTGTTCTGACACTCAGAGGTGCTGCAGCAGGCTTGAAAAAGTAGCAGTCACTGCGACAATGCGACCGAGGGACTTCAGGCTAACGCTTTCACCTGCCCTCACCCTCACTGCTTCCTCGTAGGATGAATTCTTACTCCTGTGAATTCTCGCGACTGGCGGGCATAGTTTGCCAGATGCCGTTTCGTAACTGGCATGACGCTTGATCCCCGTGACGCCGGCGACAAGTTTATGAGAGTTGTCTACCACTGTTAGTTCTATATCGCCGGCCGCAGCATCCAATCGAATTATGCCACGTTCTTGCAAGCGTTTTAACCTTCTAAGCACAGCAATTAGTGGATCCCTAAGGCGGATGAGAGTGCTTTCGAGACGTCTCGACAGAAGCAGTAGTAAGTAGAAGTTATCAGTCAGGCACTAGGTAGTATCCAGGCTACGTGCAGTCTAGATCCACCGTTCTTGCTGGTAGCTAGCCGCCAGCGCGCGCGCGCTACTTAGTAGTGACCTGTAACACGCCTCAGCGGTCAACGATGCGGTAGTTACCGCACTTCTTAAACGGATTTGTAATCAGGCTCCGCAGAGTCAAGGCAATATTTGAGTCGACTCACGATTTGCCTCGGCGAAAACCAGAGCCTTCCTATGGCGTGATCATAGGAAGCCGTAACGATCTAGTAAGGACCCGAACATAAAATATACTCGGCATATTCGAATCCACCGGTGAAGGCCTCGTTAACAAGCGGCACGATTCTTCTCCTTTTCTTTTCATTCTGAGGGTACGTGTCGGACAGAATCAGGCTTAAACCGGTTCTCCCGGTTTTGCCGGACACGTAATAATAGCCTCGATGTCTGCGATGATCCCTCCGCCGGCAACACGTTTCGGGCAGAAACAGGCTGTCGTGCCGCTTCCGCTGACCTTCCGGCTCCCCCGGCTGCCGATTCTCCTGCTTCTCGCTCTCGGGACCGTGCTTCTCGCGCGCTGGCCAGTCCTGCGCGGCCACGTGGCGCGCGATCCGGAGATCGGCGCGGTGAATTCGATTCTTGTCGGTCGGAGCTGGGCTGCTATCGAGGAGGCTTCTATCGAGGACGATGCTCATACCCTTGAAGGGGAAAAGCATGGTGTAGGCAGCATCGGCGGGAGGGATGGTAAAGGAGGAGAGTCATATGAACGGATAGAGTGGGCGCTGAGAGAGAGCGGATGGGCGGAAGAGGAGCGGGAGACGGCGCAGAATGCGGAAGGTTCCGACGGTCGCGGGGATTCCCGGGAGGCGGAACGAGTGGGGGAGATATCGCAAGAGGGAGAAGGGCATATGGCGGAAAGCGAGAATGCGGACGTTGGCGGAACCACTGAAGGGGGAGGAAGAGAAGTAGGGGAGTATCAAGGAGGGGACGCGGTGCAAGGCCGAGATGAAGAGGACGATTTTTCGGGGAAGGGGGGAGGGGAAGTGAGGGGGCAAATGGGTAGTGAAAGGGAGAAAAAGAGGGAGAGGCGACGACGGAAGTCGACGAGAGAGGAGGGGAAAAGAGAGGCGACGGATCGGCGGGGGGATGCGCGGGGCGCCGATTCGGCAGAAGAAGGGTCTGCGGACGCGAAGATGCGCGGAAAGAAGGGGAACATTTTAGGCAGCAGCTATGAGAGACGCGACGAGAGCAGCGGCGAGAAAAGCGACGCAGAATCTAGAGAGTCTGAAGAGACGAAGGATAAAGCGAAGAAGCGGAAGAAGCGGCGGCAGAGGCGGTGTCGAGAACTAGGTGTTCCCTGCTCCTTTCATCTTTCGAAGAAGGCTCGAGTGAAACAGGCGCTCGAGGCGGTGACCGTCCCGATTAACGGCCGGATTCTTTCGCCGTTAGATTCGCCGGAGGTTCAGAAGCTGTTGCGCCCGCGGGGTAGGGTATTGCTGCCGGGAAGCAGCCATTCGAAGTGGTGGGAGACGCGATGGCTGCCGGTTAGCCGTCAGGACTATTTTGATCCGAACGGCCGGTATCTTTTTGTCACTGGCCACCGGGATTTCTGCGCGGGAATTCGCCACTTCCATCGCAGTCTGTCGTGCAGAATCGCAGAGGCGGCGGTTTTGAATCGCACTCTCGTACTCGATATGGGGTTGTGCATTAATGGACTGCACAACGAGGGGAAATTTCAAGTTAACCCCATCCATGTCTACTACGATCTTGCATCTCTAAGGTAAGCCGCGAATAATCCAATGATTGAAAGCTGGGAGGGTTACGAAATCGCCTCTGCCTTATCGGGGGGTCTGATAACGAGAATGATTCAACATGGTATAAACCTTTCAAGCTATCTCGCATCGTAAAACGCCCAAACGGTTCAACCATCCCGTTCTCCAAACCCCCCCACCGATCCCCCTCCCCCCATTCCCCCCGTTTTCCCTCCCCCGTTTTCCCCCCAGCGCCGTCCGCTTCACCCCCCTGCAGGGTTTTCTTGAGGAGGCGGAGAAATGGCATGCGGGGCTGGGGAGGCGGAGTGGGGGGGGAAATGGGGGTGAGGCGGAAGGTGCAGGCGGGGCAGCGGAAGGAGAAGCAGCTGAAATCAGGAGACTCGCGGAAGTAGAAGGGGGAGGGGAGGGCGGGAAAGCAGCAGAGGAAGGTTCGCTGCGGTTTCCTGTGCGGGTGGTGGGAGGGCACGTGAGGACAAGGCGGCTAGTGGGAGACGACGACACGGCGCTGATCGTGCGGACGGTGAACTACGGCTTTGCTGCGTGCGAGTTCAGCCCGTTCCACTCGAAGCCGCGCCACGAGGTGTGTGCGTTGAGATAGACATGTGGGCTGACGTGGGGACCAGCATGAGGGTGTGTGAAGAAGTGAGGTGCCACAGCGCCATTCAGCATCGTGCCGGAGCTGCTGGCGCTGCCATTCCAGGTGCCCCACTCCCTCTCCCTCCCCCGCTTCGCCCCCTTTTTCCCCCTCTTTTTTCCCTTTTCCCCGCTCCCCCCAACAGAAGGACTATCCCATTCCCAGCAGCCACAGCGCCATCCAGCACCGGCCAGAGCTGCTGGCGCTGCCATTCCAGTTGCCCTCTCCCCTCTTCCCCCGTCTTCCCCCCTTTTCCCCTTGGTTCTGATTCCTACAGAGGGACGACCCAATTCAGAGCAACCACAGCGCCATCCAGCATCGTCCAGAGCTGCTGGCGCTAGCACTCCAGCTGTCCCACTCCCTCTCCACTTTCCCCTCCCCGCTTCATACCTTTTCCCCCCAACAGAGGGACTACCCAATTCAGAGCAACCACAGCGCCATTCAGCACCGGCCAGAGCTGCTGGCGCTGGCAGCAGAGATGGGGAGGGCGATGGGTGGGGGGAACTATGACGCGGTGCATGTGAGGCGAGGGGACAAGCTCAACCCCAACATGTGGCCTCACCTCGACCGCGACACACGACCGCCTGCGTGAGTGATCCATGTTGTTTGTGCCCCCGCTGTATGTGAGCTCACTGCATGTGAGGCGAGGCGAGGGGACAAGCTCAACCCCAGCATGTGGCCGCACCTCAGCCACGACACGAGACCCCCCGCGTGAGTGCTCTATGCCGCTAATGCACCCAGTGCTCCCAGTGCTCCCATTGCCCTCTATGCTCTCACTGGCACTGCCCCTACTGCTCTCACTGGCACTGCCCCTACTGCTCTCACTGGCACTGCCCCTACTGCTCTCACTGGCACTGCCCCTACTGCTCTCACTGGCACTGCCCCTACTGCTCTCACTGGCACTGCCCCTACTGCTCTCACTGGCACTGCCCCTACTGCTCTCACTGGCACTGCCCCTACTGCTCTCACTGGCACTGCCCCTACTGCTCTCACTGCTCTCTCTGCCCTCACCTTTCTCTACTCCCCCACCTCTCCCTTTTCCCCCGTTCCCCTCTTTTCCTGCTCTCTGCAACCCTACTGCCTCTCTACTCCTGGCCCTTGAAGAAACTTCCCAAGTTCATTGCACCTGGACGCACTCTCCTCCTTGACACTCACTTCTCCCCACCCATTTCCCTCCTTTCCCCTCTTCCCCATTGTTCCTTTTCTGCGATCTCTCGCCCCTCCTCCAGGCTCTTGAAAAAGCTTCCCCAGTTCGTTGCACCTGGACGCACTCTGCTGCTTTGCACTCACTTCTTCCTCCGCACCCCCCCTCTCTCCCCCTATTCCTGCTCACTGTCCCCCCCCCCCCTACCTTTACTCCAGGCTCTTGAAAAAGCTTCCCCAGTTCGTTGCACCTGGACGCACTCTCTATATCGCCACCAACGAGAGAACCCCAGGGTTCTTCGACCCTCTTCGTACCCTTTACAAACTGTACCGTTTAGAGGACTTTCAGCACCTCTGGCACCAAGGGACTCCATGGTTCGATGTATATGTGGAGATGCTGGGAGTTTCCAAGCCTGCTTTCGACCCATACATGCAGGTTATAGTTGACTATAGAGTGCTCAACTCGGCTCGGACTGTGGTTCGGACTTTTCCGAACCTAACGTCCGACCCTGAAGATGGGTACATACGACCTCCGAGCCCGAATGAGCCGACCTTGTTGGGTTGGTCCTGGGGGTTGTTCGGGTATAGAAATGAGGATGGCCGTTAGAACGAATACCAGCAGTGTTGTGTATCTCCATTCAATCTAAATGGCAATGCTATAGTAGGCAAGAGTGAGCATTTGCAACCGAGAATGGTTAAGTCAACCTACCATGCAAAGAATTTCAATCCCATGCCAGGTCTGAACTGTATCGAGTAGTTACTGACATCCTCAGTACAGGCTCGGCGTGTTTCCACGACAACCGAGGCTACTCCTTGTGCGATCCTCAAGCATCCTCGTTCCCAGAAGTTCCTGCCCTGGTTAGGATGAGCCTTGATGTTATTTTGTTGCTATGCCTTCGCTGAGCCTTTGCTGTATAACCGACCAGCTCATTCAGTCACACCTGCTATGTTTCTGAACCCTGCTCAATCCATAACTCCTAGACACACCTTCTTGTTGTTTCTTTGAGGCTGTAGGCGAGACTTATGCACTCTTATGTTGCAGTACATTTACCAAGTTTGTTACACTACATCTACACTACAGTAATCCCTGGCAACATCTAGAGCTATACAGCTGAGCTACGGCAAGTGAATCACAGCAAAATGCTTTTGAGATGTCTCAAAAGCAAGCGAGGCCCTTGCAACAAAACCTAGACTGCACAAAGTTGGATCCTTCGACCGTAATCACTAGAAATGCGCAACTAGCATGCGCTTTACTAAGCACCAAATAGTAACATCAGGGCCACCACCACTATAGGCTGGGTGGGCCCTGGCAGAGGGAGTAACACCGCCGCAATGCCGCTGACGGCCATGCGAATATGGTACCGGTACGAGCAGCGCACGGATGGCGTGATGGCCGTTCAAGGCCGGTTGACCACACCATGGTTGATGCCTCCCCCAGCGTAGCTGCTGGTGGGCTGAGAGAAGCCGCTGACAGAAGGAGTGGCGCCACTGACGGCCATGCGCAGGCGGCTGGAGCGCTTCACTGGGGTCAGCACCACCTGCTGCTCTGATCCCTGCGATGATGGGGAAGGGCAGGGGGAGAAAGGGGGAGGGAATAGTTCAAGAGAAGCCGTCGGCAGAGGGAGTGGCGCCACTGACGGCCATGCGCAGGCGGCTGGAGCGCTTCACTGGCGTGAGCACCACCTGCTGCTCTGATCCCTGGGTTGGTGGAAGTAGGGGAGAAACGGGGGGGTGGAGAATAGGAAAAGACGCTGAGAGAGGGGGTGGAGCCACTGACGGCCATGCGCAGGCGGCTGGAGCGCTTCACTGGCGTGAGCACCACCTGCTGCTCTGATCCCTGTGTTGGTGGGGAGGAGTGGGGGAAAATTAAGGTGCAAGGGGAGTGAGGGGGAGCGAGGGGGAGTGAGGAAGAGCAAAGAGAGGAGGAGGGGTGTAATGTTCAGGAACGAGCGCTAGGAGAGCCTCACAGCCTCATAGCACGACTCACCTCTCGCACCACCACGGGCTGGAACGCGTTGGTCCGCCCGTACCTACCCTCCTGGCAGCCCCACCTTCAGACTGCCACATCTAAGCGAACCAATAGGACAACATGTCCGACTGAGAACTTGACAGCACGGCTCACCTCTCGCACCACCACGGGCTCGAATGCGTTGGTCCGTCCATACCCTCCTGGCGACCCTGTGCCTCCCTGCCTCCCTGCCTCCCTGCCTCCCTGCCTCCCTGCCTCCCTGCCTCCCTGCCTCCCTGCCTCCCTGCCTCACAGCCTCACAGCCTCACAGCCTCACAGCCTCCCTGCCTCCCTGCCTCCCTGCCTCCCTGCCTCCCTGCCTCCCTGCCTCACAGCCTCACAGCACGACTCACCTCACACACCACGACCGGACTCACCTCGCGCACCACCACAGGCTTGAACGCGTTGTACCGCCCGTACCCTCCTGGCGACCGTGTGCCTCCCTGCGCACCCCCCTCCCCCTCCCCATCGCCCCCCACTGCCACCAGCACGTCCCCCACCGCCACCATCTGCGCCATCCCCACGGGGCTATGCCCCCCCGCGCCCCCCATGCCTCCGCCCATGCCTCCCCCCATGCTTCCGCCCACGCTTCCGCCCGTTCCCCCGGCCTGCCACCCCATTTTCATCTGATCCCACTGCTGCTGCTGCGCCTGCAGCACCTGCTCTCTCTGCTGCTGCTGCTGCCTTCCTCCTCCTCCTCCCCCTCTGATCCCCATCGGCCCATAATAGTTGCTCGTGCTCTCACAAACCGAGTCCATGCCTTGATTCCCGAGCCTCAGCCCCGAGATCGCCGAGCCTGCAGGCCTGGCAGCAGCAGCAGCGGCAGCCGCGGCATGACCGGAGCTGAATCCAGGTCCGGCAGTTCTGCCGAGCCTAGCTCCCTCGCTGAGCGTCCAGCCTGCGTCCACCCCTCCTGCTCCGCTCATTGCTGGTGCCTGCCATGCCTGGTGCTGCTGCTGCTGGTGGTACTGTTGCTGCTGTTGGGGATGCATAAAGCCGACGTTCCCACCACCACTTGCAGCAGCCGCACCACCACCACTAACAGCACCACCGGCACTAGCAGCAGCACCACCAGCGCCACTAGCAGGAGCGGCAGCACCCCAGGACTGGCCACTGAAGCTCTGCCTGCGCTCGCCTGCCGAAGCAGAGGGCGCCGGCCCTTGCAGCTGTGACCCACCGTGTGACCCACCGTGTGACCCACCGTGTGAACCACCAAGAGACATAGCCTGGGACCCAGCACGAGCAGAGAGGCCGTGAGAGGCAGCAGGGTGAGGAGCTGCTGCTGCTGCTGCTGTTGCTGCTGCTGAAGCTCTGGAGGAACGGAGGAGAGCAGTGGCGGTTACAGCGGCAGCAGCAGTGACAGCCACCACCACCACAGCAGCCGCAACCAGCATCTGCTGCTGCTGATCTGCCAAGCTTTGCTGCTCCGCCTCCTCTAGCGCCCATGCCATCTCCTCCGCTTCCGGCAGGGACGTACCCTCTGTCTCACCAGCCGTAGCAGTGGCGGCTGTAGCAGCGACGAATGTATCAGCGGTGGCTGTAGCCTCAGCTTCAAGCTTCTGCTCCGCCTGCTCCACCTCCCACACCGCCTCCTCTGCCCCTGGAAGCACCCTTCCCTCCCCCACATCATCAGCTGTAGCAGCGGCAGCTGTACCTGCTGCAAGGTCGGCTGTAGCGCTGGGTTCCGCAGGCGCTACAGCCTCTTGCACAGCAGTGGCAGCAGCTGTGGCTGTGGCAGCGGCAGCGGCGTCGGCAGGGCAGACGGCTGCTGAAGCAGAAGAACAGTCACCCGCTGCTGGCTCTGCGATATCAGCCACACGTCCCTCAGGAGAAGCGTCAGCATCTTCCACGTCAGCGTCTTCCACGTCAGCATCTTCCACGTCAGCAGCTACGCAAGCCGTCACTGCACCACTTCCACCAGCAGTCTCCTCGCCGCCTTCCTTCCCATCCACACCGGTCGAAACAACCACAGCAGCCGCAGCACCCTCATGCTCCTCAACCCTCTCATCCCATGCTTGTTGCGTAACCAGCTCAGCTTGCTTCTCCGTAACCATTCCTGCCTCTTCTCCCGTGGTAACCGCAACCACCACCGTCTCCTCCTCCTCCTCCTGCTGCTGCTGCACAACCAAATCTGAGCTCGTTCCCGTGGAATCCGGAGAGTCGAAGCCTCCCTCCTCCTTCTCCTCCTCCTCTGCGGAAGCCAAGTCTGAATCGCGGATCTGCGAAACACCATCGCGGATCTGCGAAACACCATCGCGGATCTGCGAAACACCATCGCGGATCTGCGAAACACCATCGCGGATCTGCGAAACACCATCGCGGATCTGAGGATGACCATGGCTAGCTGAAATGTCATTTGTATTCAAGTCTGCCTCCTCCTTTTCCCCGCCTAGCTTCCCACCAACCGATGCCGCCCAGCTCATCCCTTGGAACGCCCCCATTGGCTGAGGCTCGCTCGCTTCCCAGAGCACCGAGGTTCGGCCCGCAACTGCCTTCCAGCCGTTCCCAAGCGTGATTCCGAGCCTGGAGCCTGCTTCCCCTTCACCATTGCCGAACCAAGCTCCAGGCACGGCAGAGAGGTACGTCTTCCAGACCTGCTCGGCAGGTTCGAGGAAGGACAACGCGGGAGAGAGGGCGGAGAGGGGGCGGTGGGCGGAAAGGAAGAGGGCGGCGGAGAGCACAACCGCGCAAAGCGCGCGGAGGACTCCGCCCGCGCGGGACCAGCTGCTTCCGCGGGTGCTGCTGCCACTGCGTCCGCCGTTGTCGACGCTGCGTGCTTCGTGGCGACCATGGTGGCGACGCTGCTGGTGCTTCTGCTGGTGCTGGTGCTGCTGCTGGTGCTGCTGCTGCGGGTCGCGGTCATGGTGGTGGCGGCGCGAACGGTGCCTCACCGCATCACCTGCGTCAGCGTCAGCAACCTTCGCCACGTCAGCGCCTGCCCCTTCGAGCCGTGTTCCCCCCCCAGCCTGATTCTCATTCTCATTCTCTGTATCTTTGCCCGTGCTCCCTTCTTCCTCCGCTTCCCCCTTTGCCGGTTTTTGAGAATTCTCAAAAACGACCTCTCCTTCCTTCGCCGACTCGTTTTCCCCACTGCCCGGCTGTGCAGTCACTTGCGCCATGCTCCCTCCCCCTCCCTTCTCCGCGCCTTCCTTCCCCCGAACTTTCCCCACTTCTGAATCCCCAGCCTTCTCTTCCCTCTCGTCATCCGCTTCCCCTTCCGCGTCCGCCTTCGCCGCAGCGTACACAGCCACAGCCGCCGCCGCTGGAGCCGGCGCCGCCGGCGCCGCCGTCACCGCAGCTGCAGCAGCCGCCACCACGTCCGCAGTCCACGCCGTCAGATCCGCCGCAGGCTTGCCGTAAGCCGCCGCCTTTCCGCCAGAGCCGGGCGCGACGTCGCGGCGCGCAGCCGACTCGGGGGACCGCGGCGCGCCGGCGAGTACTTCGAAGAGCGGATTAAGCGCGACGGAGTTAAGAGCGCCCTCGACTCGCGAGGAGTTAAGACTAAGACTGCGCTTCGCCTTCGCCAGAGTCATCTGCGACGGTGACAGCCGCTCCACGCGACCGCTGTGGCGACGCGGCGGCTGCGCGTGTGACGGGTCGTGCGACTGCGACGATGGTTGCTGCGCGGACGGGCTGTCCACAACAAAATAGTTAAACTGACCCGGACTGCACGTCCCGCTACCTACGCCGCCACCGCCGCCGCCGGTGCCGGCGGCACTGTTCATGAAGAGGCTCCCCGGGCTCGCCGCACCCCCACCGGTGCCGGCGCTCGCTGCGGACCCGGCGATGGCGCCGGCAAGAGCGGCGGAAACGCCGCTGGAGATGCCGGATGAGGTGCTCTTCCCGAGGGAGCGTCTGCCGGCCGGCGAGGCGGCTCGGCGAGCCGGCAGAGAAGGCGTCGGGGTTGTAGCAGCCACAGGGACGGCAGAGACGGCAGGAGAGGATGTAGCGAAGGGGGAGAGGGAGTGAGGAGAGGAGATGGAGGAGAAGTGATTCGCAGGTTGCTCGTTCTCTTTGAACGAAGAGAGGGTTGGAACAGCGAGGGGACCGGGACGAGGAGAGGGAGTGTGAGCGTGGGTCACGGCGGGAATTCCGGCGGTGGTTGCGGAGTTGTTAGACGCGAAGGGAACAGACTGCTGAGGGCTGGAAAAGGCGGAGAATTTTGACGGTCCGTCTTTCATCGGTCCGTCTTTCAGCGGGCCTGGGCGGCGAGCCTTCTTCCCCTTTTGAGAATTCTCATGGCCCGACATTGTGAGGATTTACTTCCTTTAATATTAGGAATCTAGAAGACGCTATTGCTACGCTTTAGGGATGCACGAGAAGGCAAGGAGTCGTCACCAAGGAGAAGTGACGAGTTGGAAAGTAGATTTACGGATGCTCGCCTTTACAGTTTTCAGAAGCTACTCAAAATCAACAGAAAGAGCTTCGAGTTGGGCGAACTAGAATGAAGAAACAGGGCAATTAAGCCACATGCGCATAAGAAGTAGAAACGATTTTGTCTCTGCCACTCGTAGGTCGTTACCTAACAGAGCACGCTCCGAAGTGAAAGGAGAGCAACGGCGGCAATGGCTGCTTGTGTTGTCTGTGTGCAAGCTCGAGAAAGGGTAACAGCATTTCTGTCAGAGGGGCGCCCTCATAGCTTGTTCTTGCTACGGTTCAAAAATATACTTTGCCTTTTGATAACGGTTTATTCATGACAATGAGTGGTTCGGTAGGTTCTCTAAGGAGACTGAACTCTCGTCATGGACTGCTGGTTTGTTTGGGTCTGTTGCTGTTGCGATTGCGCGGGAAATAAAGCTATTGGCTGTTTCAAGCGATTTGGGAAATTTGAAGTTTCGCGCCTACTACGTGCGCTTCGGAAGTCTTTCTGAACTGTTTGAATTCTATGGGTTCTAAACTAAATGAGTGTGTCACGCCGGAATCACTGCAGTTCTATCTGGGCCAGGATCTGCGAGTGGCCTAATAACGAGATTCTGGCTTGCTACCTTGCATGCCCACCAATGCTCCGATATGTTAGAGAAAAAAACAGACTTAACCAGATTTACTTCCTGTCGAGAAAATGCAAGGAGTATTGCCAAAACATGGATTGGGTGGGTGTCTGAACCAAAACAATACACCGCTTTACCGGCTTGTATGCTGTAGGTACCCCCAACATACCGCCACAATGCAACACATTTGCTCATGCATCCTTATTTAGGACTTCTATACAAACTGCAATAAATTATGCAAGAATCTGGAAAGAAAACAATCACATTGCATATTGCAGAAAAGCAGCTTGTTTGGAAATGCAAACAGCTGTAGCTATCAAACGGCTCATGGCTTTTTGATCCCCAGCCAACCAAGGCCCTTCCGAGAGGAACCCTGAGAAAGGAGGAAGGAAAAGGAAACAGGGGAGGAAATAAGTAAAGGGTAAGAGGGAAGGGTAGGAAACAGGGGAGGAAATGAGTCAAGGGTAAGAGGGAAGGGTAGGAAACAGGGGAGGAAATGAGTCAAGGGTAAGAGGAAAGGGTAGGAAACAGGAAAGGAAATGAACCAAGGGCAAGAGGGAAGGGTAGGAATCAGGAAAGGAAATGAATCAAGGGCAAGAGGGAAGGGTAGTATATATGATCACGCAGTGGTAGCCATGAAATCCAAACAATGTAGTGAGGAGGGCGATCAAACTCTATTCATGCGTTGTTTCTCCCTTGGTTCTCCCTCGTTTTCATCCTCCATCCATTCTCTGATTCAGCCAATTCCTCATGCTCCTCTCGACATGCTTCACCTCCACACTCTCCTCACCGCATCCCACCCATCCTCATCTCCGCATCTCACTTCCACACCCCTCTCTCACCTCCACAATTCCCCTCTCACCTTCTCATGCACATTGGCCTTGAACTGCCGAATGCACAGCGCTGCCAAGTCCCTCGTTCTGAGAGGCCCAAAGGGAAGTCAAAAACAGGATAAGGAGATAGAGGTGGAAGGGGGGGGGAGGAAAAAGGGAGAGTAGGGGGAGGTGAAGTGGGGAAGAGGGGAAGAGAGGAAGCACAGTGGGGCAACATCACAGGCACACGGCACGGTATAGAGCAGACTATACACTATTCACCTTGGAATCACAAACAAGTTGACCTGGCAGCCCTGAAATCAAGGAAGGGCTGACCTGGCATCCCTGAAATCAAGGAAGAGCTGGCGACCATCGGAGAGGATGAAGAAGAGCGACATGCGATGCATCACACTGATCTCCACCTGGGGGTGGGGGAGGGCAGGAGCGGGGAGGGGCGGGTAGTGCGAGGCAGTGTGAGATGCGTGGCAGGCAGTGATGAGAGCAGTGAATGGGGATGAAGGAGAGAGCCATGTGATGCATCACACTGATCTCCACCTGCGGGGAGGGGACTTTTGAGTCGACTCAAAAGTCACCTAGAGAGCAGTGAATGGGGATGAAGGAGAGAGCCATGTGATGCATCACACTGATCTCCACCTGGGGTTTAGGGTTTAGAGAGTGATGAGAGCAGTATGATGGAGAGAGCAGTATGATGGAGAGAGCAGTGTGATGGAGAGAGCAGTGTGATGGAGAGAGCAGTGTGATGGAGAGAGCAGTATGATGGAGAGAGCAGTGTGATCCACCTGGGGGGAGGGGAGAGGAGGTTGACAGGGGGAGAGGGCAGGGGGACAGAAAAGGGGAGGGAGGAGATTGAATTGAATAAGAGCGACATGCGATGCATCACACTGATCTCCACCTGAGGGTAACATGGTAGCGAGCAGTGATACGAGCATAGAACGAGGATGGGAAGAAAGAGCGACATGCGATGCATCACACTGATCTCCACCAGGAAGGAAGGGGAGAGGGGGGAGAAAAGGGGAGGGAGTGGGGGGGAGGGGTCGGGGGAGGGAAGCGTGGGCAGCGTGAGAAGCGGGAGAAGCGTGCGGCGACGAGAGGAGACAGCATGAACATGAGTCAAGGCGACCCAGAGGAGACAGCATGCGAGTGACGAGAGGAGACAGCATGCGAGTGACGAGAGGAGACAGCATGCGAGTGACCCGTTGCACTAAGATTGCCCCAGGGCTCCTCACTCCTTGGCGTTGATCAACGCCTTCTTGGCGTGGAAGTCTGCGCAGCACAGCACAGAGTCGGGCCTCCCCACTCCCAGCAGTGAGATTGCCCAACACAAAGTCCGTCCTCCTCACGACTTGAGATTGCCCAAGCACTCACCGCAGTGAGGTTCCCCCAGGGCTCCTTGATAAAGGCCTTCTTGGCCTTGCGCAGGACAAAGTCAGGCCTCCTCACTTGCAGCGTCACACTGCCCCACTCACACACAAGCAGGCTTGCCCCACCCCAATTACACAGCGCCAATGCACGTTATAAGCACTCACCGCAGTGAGGTTGCCCCAGGGCTCCTTGATAAACGCCTTCTTGGCCTTGCGCAGGACAAAGTCAGGCCTCCTCACTTGCAGCGTCACACTGCCCCACTCACACACAAGCAGGCTTGCCCCACCCCAATTACACAGCGCCAATGCACGTTATAAGCACTCACCGCAGTGAGGTTGCCCCAGGGCTCCTTGATAAACGCCTTCTTGGCCTTGCGCAGGACAAAGTCAGGCCTCCTCACTTGCAGCGTCACACTGCCCCACTCACACACAAGCAGGCTTGCCCCACCCCAATTACACAGCGCCAATGCACGTTATAAGCACTCACCGCAGTGAGGTTGCCCCAGGGCTCCTTGATAAACGCCTTCTTGGCCTTGCGCAGGACAAAGTCAGGCCTCCTCACTTGCAGCGTCACACTGCCCCACTCACACACAAGCAGGCTTGCCCCACCCCAATTACACAGCGCCAATGCACGTTATAAGCACTCACCGCAGTGAGGTTGCCCCAGGGCTCCTTGATAAACGCCTTCTTGGCCTTGCGCAGGACAAAGTCAGGCCTCCTCACTTGCAGCGTCACTGCCTGCGGTGTCTGCTGCTGCTCCTGCGGCTCCTCCCCCTCACTGATCTCCTGCAACGGGAGAAAGGCGAGGGTAAAGGAGAGAGGTGATGAGAGATGAGAGAGCAGAGGAGAGGAGAGAGGGAATAAGAGAGAGGGGAGAGAGAGGTAGGAGAAACGAGGGATGAGAGTAGGTATGGAGGCCAGAACGAGGAATGCTGCTAATCAAAATAAGAATCTTTGCTGCTCCTCACTCCTCCAGTCCGCATGCCATGGCGAATCTCAGCATTGCTGCCATCGTGTGGACAACTGATCAGACAGCCCGGTGGGATGCACTGCAGTGCGTTGTAGCTGTGGTGCAGTGCGGTGCAGCTGTGGGATAGCATCGGTGTCATGTGCCATGTGGCGTGATCCGTAACGACGCAGAGGAAACCAGTGTGGGGAAACACGGTGTGGAGCAATGCGGCGAAGTGCGGTGCAGGGAAGACACGTGGCATCCCATCATACCACGAGGGTGGCTTCAAACTGGGTGGACCCCTCTGCCAGCCATCCTGCCAGTGTGTCCTGCACCGTGGGCTCTGTGTGGTGCCATGGGGTTGAAGGGGTGATGGGGTGATGAGGTGATGGGGTGATGGGGTTGAGGGGGAGATGAGAGAGGCGAGGTATCACAGCACAGGCCACCAGGCGGACCCCTCTGCCAGCCATCCTGCCAGTGTGTCCTGCACCGTGGGCTCTGAGCAGTGTGATGCCATGGGGGTGAGAGGTGAAGGGGGTGAGGGGGGGATGAGAGAGGCAAGGCATGAGCAAGAGACGCGGCATCACAGCATGAGCCACCAGGTGGATCCTTCTGCTAGCCATCCTGCTTGTGTGTCCTGCACCGTGGGCTCTGTGCGGTGTGATGCCATGGGGGTGAGGGGGAGATGAGAGAGGCAAGGCAAGGCAAGGCATGCCATGGGGGTGAGAGGGGGATGAGAGAGGTGAGACAGCACAGCATGAGACGAGACAGCACAGCATGAGACGAGACAGCACAGCATGAGACGAGACAGCACAGCATGAGACGAGACAGCACAGCATGAGACGAGACAGCACAGCATGAGACGAGACAGCACAGCATGAGACGAGACAGCACAGCATGAGACGAGACAGCACAGCATGAGACGAGACAGCACAGCATGAGACGAGACAGCACAGCATGAGACGAGACAGCACAGCATGAGACGAGACAGCACAGCATGAGACGAGACAGCACAGCATGAGGCAGCAGATGCACCCTTCTGCCACCTGGTGCTGGCAGTGGCGTCACGAGATTCTTGAGGAGGGTGCGGGGCGCATGAGGAGGGTGAGGGGGGCATGAGGAGGGTGAGGGGCGCATGAGGAGGGTGAGGGGCGCATGAGGAGGGTGAGGGGCGCATGAGGAGGGTGAGGGGCGCATGAGGAGGGTGAGGGGCGCATGAGAGAGGCACAGCATGGGAGAGGCACGGGATGGAAGTGGCACAGCATGCTAGTTGTATCCACAGTGTGTCCTCTTATCAGGTTGTGTTCTTATCACGTTGTGCTCTTATCAAGTAGTGTTCTTATGAGGTTGTGCTCTTACCGAGTTGGATCAAGTTGCCTTCATTGACCACCACTCGAGACAACTCCCCCTAGATGCACGACAGGGGCGAGTGGCACGAAAGGCATGAGAGGGGCGAGACGCATAACAGGGGATGAGAAAACAAACAGACATATGCCATGACTTATGCCATGGAAACAAACAGAGACATGCATGCCATGGAATGACATGACATCGTTATGTGACACCACCCCCTCCCCTCTCCCCTCCCCCTCCCCACTCCATCGCACTCACCCACCGGCCTGCCTCGTCCAGCGGCACACGCTCCACTGCGATGATGGCGTTGCAGTCGTCAGCTGACACCACCGGTCACACATGAAAACACGCATGCACTCACTCACCCTCACTCTCCCAAAACCACTCACCCACCGGCCTGCCTCGTCCAGCGGCACACGCTCCACTGCGATGATGGCGTTGCAGTCGTCAGCTGACACCACCGGTCACACATGAACACACGCATGCACTCACTCACCCTCACTCTCCCAAACCCACTCACCCTCACTCTCCCAAAACCACTCACCCACGGCACACACTCCACGGCGATGATGGCATTGCAGTCACCGCATGCATTCGTGCAGGCACCACGAGCACGACCGATCCCCCTCCCCCCCTCTCTTCCCCCACACTCCAAGCGCATGAACTCACCCGTCTGCCTGCCTCGTCCAGCGGCACACACTCCACGGCGATGATGGCGTTGCAGTCGTCAGCTGACACGGCATACTCGGGTGATGATGCTCCTGTCAAGGGAGGGGTGGGGGGAAGGCGAAGAAATGGGCAAGTGGTGATGGTGGCGGAAAGAGGGCAGCGATGATGGCGTTGCAGTCGTCCGCTGACATGGCATACTCGGGCGATGATGCTCCTGTCAAGGGAGGGGTGGGGGGAAGGCGAAGAAATGGGTGAGTGGTGATGGTGGCGGAAAGAGGGCAGCGATGATGGCGTTGCAGTCGTCCGCTGACATGGCATACTCGGGCGATGATGCTCCTGGGGAGGAAGAGGGGGAGAGGGACGAGACGAGGAGGGGGAAGAGGAAGACATGGGTGAGTGGATGAGAGGTAAAGCGGGGAGTGACGATGGCATTGCGGTTGTCAGTTGTGGTGGGGGAAAGGGGAGGGGGAGGGGGAGGGGGAGGGGGAGGGGGAGGGGGAGGGGGAGGGGGAGGGGAGGGGGAGGGGGAGGGGGAGGGGGAGGGGGAGGGGGAGGGGGGAGGGGGAGGGGGAGGGGGAGGGGGAGGGGGAAGGGGAGAGGGAGTGGAGGGGGAGGGGGAAGATGTGGGAAAGTGCATGAGAGGGAAGGAGGGTAGTGATGATGGCATTGCAGTCGTCAGTTGTCAGCAGAGCCATCTTGGTGTTACCTCCCTCTTCATTGCCGCAGCAGTTGTGGAACGTTCCAAGCATGTGGTTGGTTATGGCAAGGACCGTTCATGTACGGGAGGGGAGAGAGCGAGGGTTGGGTGGTGCGAGGCTAATTTCGAGGCGCCTCAAAGTATATTCTTGAGGCGCCTCAAAATTGGAACGTTCCAAGCATGTGGTTGGTTATGGCAAGGACCGTTCATGTACGGGAGCGGAGAGAGCGAGGGTTGGGTGGTGCGAGGCTTACCTTCGATGAACTCGGCCGTGCCATCTTGGTATTGCTTTGAGGCGCCTCGTTTTGAGGCGCCTCAAAACGACCCCCAGTCTCCGTAGGCTTACCTTCGATGAACTCGGCCGTGCCATCTTGGTATTGCCGCACCCACTGCCAAGAGCAGCCAGACGTAAGAGACAGGGTAGGGCAGAGCAGAGAGATAAGGCCAGAGCACCGGACAGAAAAGGCAGGGAGATAAGGCAGCAGCTCAAAAAGAAAAAAAAACAAATAACAGAAGAGCAGAGCAGGCCACACAGGAAGCGCCACAAAAAGGTGCTTTACAAACCGTGGCTTCTGCGATTGTTAACGACGCTTTCAAACACAGCTAGCTGGGCAGTCATGTCATGCCTCATCATGGTCCTCACAAGTCGCCCCGCGTGGAATTCCCGAGAGGCATGAGGTATCAGGCTTGCCTCAGAAATCCCCTGCCTCAGAAATCCCCTGCCTCATGGTCAGGCCTCAGGCAGGCGACTTCTGAGACAGGTGACTTCTGAGGCAGGTGACTTCTGAGGCAGGCGACTTCTGAGGCAGGCGACTTCTGAGGCAGGCGACTTCTGAGGCAGGCGACTTCTGAGGCAGGCGACTTCTGAGACAGGCGACTTCTGAGACTGAGGGCCTCAAAGGTCGCCCCGTGGTCAGAACCTAGGACTCACGCAGCCACATGAACAACACCAGGCAGGGGAAGTGTTCGACATGAGGAACTTACCTGGAAGACGCAAAGCTTGGTGCCGTTGACTGAGTGACCGCACGCAGTGAGCTTGTTCCCCATCGCCGCGTCCCCTATCACCCTCAGCCCCTCTATCCCCCTCTGGCCGCATCTCCTATCACACAAGTCCCCTGTATCTTTGAGCCAACTCACAACCTACCTGGAAGACGCATAATTTGGTGCCGTTGACTGAGTGGCCACAGGCAGTGAGCTTGTTCCCCATGGCCGCGTCCCCTATCACCCTCAGCCCTTCTATCCCCGGCAGCAGCTCCTCCCCCTCCTCCTCCCCCTGCCCCTCCTCCCCCTCCCCCGCCTGCCCTTCCCCTGCTGCCTCCTGCTGCCCTGCACCTTCCCCTCCCACCTCCTGCTGCTGGTATTCCTGCTGCTGATATTCCTGCTGTTGATACTCCTGCCCCTGGTATTCCTGCTGCTGCTGCTGCTGCTGATAGTCCTGTTGCTGGTACTCCTGCTGCTGATATTCCTGCTGCTGCTGTTGCTGCTGCTGAAAATCCTGCTGCTGCTGATAGTCCTCCTGTGCATACTGCTGCACCACCTGCTGCTGCTGCCCTTCCATATGAAAGCTGTGGTGCTGCTGTGAGGAATCCATGCTGGGGATAAACTGAGAATCAATGGTGCTGCCAGTGGGGTCCGCACCACCAGCAGCAACCTCGTTCATACCCTGCCCTGCGAAATCCTGCTGTTGCTGATACTCCTGCTGCTGCTGGTATTCCTGCTGCTGCTGCTGCTGCTGCGGTTGCTGCTGATAATCTTGCTGCTGCTGCAGTTGCTGATTTGCCAAGCCTTGCCCTGCAACCATACCGATGGCAATCGTTGGAAAGCATTGGTACAGATTGCACGAAATAAAAAGGTTGGAACGAGTAATGTTGTTGAAGGAAAGAAGGAAGAGGGGTACCGGGGAGTGGGGCAGAGTCATAAGGGTGGAGTGGATACAGAGAAATAGGCAGACAGGGACATTGTCTTAACGCTCACTCACCCTCTCATCCCCATGCCTCCAACACTCACTCACCGTCACCCTCATACCCTTATCTCCACTCTCACTCACCGTCATCCTCACGGATCGGAGCCAATCCACCGCCCCAGCTAGCGGCAGGGTCACCCGCTCCGCCCATGCTCGCCCCAGGTCCTCCTATGCTTCCCACAGCCCCCTCTCCCCCCACATACCCCATCGCCTGCCCTTGCCCCATGCCCACACTCCCCACCCCCTCCATCCCCCCTTGCTGCTGCTGCATTACCCCCACTCCTGCTCCACTTCCCATTGAAGCTCCCATAGTCGAGTCAGCAGCAAAGACGCCAGAAGCACCAGGATTGGTGGAAGCGCCGGGAGGGATGGGAGAATCAGAAGCAGAGGGAGCAGCAGGAGGGGCGGGAGCAGCAGAGGAAGCAGCAGCAGCAGGGATGAACCCGCCCTTGAGTGACATTTCAGGCTCCATGGAGCCACTGTACCCACCCGCCTGCTGCTGCTGTGGCTGCTGCTGATACTGTTGCTGCGGCTGCTGTTGCTGCTGATGATATTGCTGCTGAGGTGGCTGCTGGTGTTGGTGCTGGTACAGCTGCTGCTGCTGGTACTGTTGCTGTGGCACCTGCTGCTGTTGACCCATGTAATGCTGCTGCTGGTTCTGCTGCTGCTGCTGCTGCTGCTGCTGCTGCTGTGGGGGTTGCTGCTGCCATTGCTGTTGTGGTGGCACTTGTTGCTGTTGCTGCATTGGTGGCTGTTGCTGCCACTGCTGCTGCTGTGGTGCCTGCAGCAATTGCTGCTGAAGAGGCGGCTGCAGCTGCTGCTGCTGCACTGGTTGCTGCAATGGCTGCTGTTGTTGCTGCACGAGTTGCTGCAGCAGCTGCAGCTGCTGCTGCTGCACCGGCTGCTGCAACGACTGCTGCTGCTGTTGCTGCAAAAGCTGCTGGAGCAGCAACAGCTGCTGCTGCTGTTGAGGCACAGAGCCCAGCAACAGCTGCTGCGGAAGCTGCAAGGACGGATAGGCTGTGGGAGAGGCGAAGATGGGGGGGAGAGCTGTGGCCGGGTGCAGAGCAGAGTGTAAAGGATGTGTGCCTCCTGCTGCTGCTGTTGTGGCTGAAAGGTAGGCAGGGTCGTAACCTGCTTGCGTAAGTGCAAGACTGGGCAGAGGTGGGCATGGGGGAGCATGGGGCGGAGGGGGGGGAAAGGTGAGGAGAGTGAAGAGAGGGGAGAAAAGCGTGGAGAGAAGAGAGATGGGAGGGGGGGGGTATAGGAGAGGAAGCAAGACTTTTGAGGCACCTAAAAAAAAAACAGTGAGGAGAGTGAAGAGAGGGGAGAAAAGCGTGGAGAGAAGAGAGATGGGAGGGAGATAGGAGAGGAAGTTAGACAATGTATGCTGCAGAGATAAGAAGGTGGCTTCATTGCCAGAGAAGACGGAAAAGCGCAACGGAGGATCAGCAGTAGCAGACGCAGGTGCAGCAGCAGCAGGTGCAGTAGGAGGGGACACCAACCCAGCCCAGGCACGGAGAGGCGAGGCGGCAGCAGAGAGAGCCACAGCAAAGGACTTGTTACGCACAGCATGAGCATGAGAGATTCGAGGGCACTCACCGCAGCAGCAGAGGATCAGCAGCAGCAGGTGCAGATGCAGCAGGAGGCACCAGCCCAGCCAAGGCTCGGAGAGGACTTTTGAGTCGACTCAAAAGTCACCTCGTTACAATGGCACACTCACCGCAGCAGCAGAGGATCACCACCAGCAGGTGCAGCAGCAGGGGGCACCAGCCCAGCCAAGGCTCGGAGAGGCGAGGCAGCAGCAGAGAGCGCAGCAGCGGAAGAGAGGGGGTTTGGTGCGAGGGAGGGGCTGTTGGGGTTGGCGCCACTGGCGAGCAGCAGAGCAGAGAGCGTGGGGTCTGTGGTGCCATAGAGCGTGGGGAGAGGGGCTGACTGCCCGCCCTGCTGCAAGCGGGGGGGAAAGGTTGGAAGGGAGACGGTGAAGAAGAGCGAATGAAAACAACAAGGGCAACACAGAGCAGAGAGCGTGGGATCTGTGTGGTGCCGACGAGCGTGGGGAGAGGGGCTGACTACCCGCCCTGCTGCAAGGGGAGGGAGGGGCGTGGAAGGGTTGGGGTTGAAAACGGTGAATGGGCAGAAACAGGGGCAACACATGACGGCAGAGCAGAGAGCGTGGGGTCTGTGGTGCCGTAGAGCGTGGGGAGCGGGGGTGACGGCCCGCCCTGCTGCAAGGTGGGGGAGGGGCGTGGAAGGGTTGGTGGTGATATGGTGAATGCAGCGAAACAGGGGCAACACGTGGGAGCAGAGCTGAGAGAGAGGGTGGGGTTCCGCAGGGTGTTTTTGAGAATTCTCAAAAGCACCCTAGCATGGGAGCAGAGGTCCGAGAGGGTGGGTTCCCACGTGTTGCCACCCTGGTGCCTTAGAGAGTGGGGAGCGGGGCTGACATGGAGCAGGCGAAGTAGAAAGAGGAACAGGTGGGAGCAAAGGAAAGGGGTTGGGATTGGTCATGTCCAAAACCAAGAGGAGGGGGGGGGGGGGGGTTGAGGAAAGGGGAATAATGTGCGAAAGAGGGGATGAAAGGAGGAGAAAAGAGCGAAGAGTGGATGGCTGAGGGGAGTGGGATTGAAATGAGGATGATACGGTGGAAATCTATTGGGCGGGGGATATTGATCCGACCTTACCCAGGAACCCGTAGATGAGGGTTGGACTGAAGTTCAACCGGACTGAACTGGACGGAACAGCACCGAACCAGATTGAACAGAGCAGAGCTCAGGCCATGTGTGGAGAGGGGGGGACAGAAAGATGCGTACCTCGTTGCTGCGAGTGGTTCGGGTGAGCAGCTGCTGCAGCACAGACTGGAATGGAACAGAAGAGAGGGGGGGAACAGAAGAGAGGGGGGGAACAGAAGAGAGGGGGGGAACAGAAGAGAGGGGGGGAACAGAAGAGAGGGGGGGAACAGAAGAGAGGGGGGGAACAGAAGAGAGGAACCACCGAGAATGCCAAGGGAGTGCAGCAGACACGCGCAGGGGAAGGAGGGAGGGAGAAAGGGGAGAAAGGCAGAGTGGGTGATGAGTGAGTGAGAGAGTGAGCGAGTGAGAGAGTAAGTTTTGATTGAGCTTGAGGGGCAGCGAGGAGGCATGCGTCCCTTTTCCGCGGGGTAACAGCCAGCCATTCTGAGACTTCCCAGAACGCGTTTACAGCACAAACACAGTGAGAAGAAGCTGACTGAGTACGGCTTTCTGACAGGACCCACCTTGACACTATGCCACGAGAGCTACCCACCTTTCCTTAAGGAAGGCCCACCTTGACGGAGAGCAACATGTGGTGCGAGCGAGTCAGCAGAGACCGTGGCAGAGAAGGCGATTTTTGAGGCGCCTCAAAAACCACCTTGACGGAGAGCAACATGTGGTGCGAGCGAGTCAGCAGAGACCGTGGCAGAGAAGGCGATTTTTGAGGCGCCTCAAAAACCACCTTGACGGAGAGCAACATGTGGTGCGAGCGAGTCAGCAGAGACCGTGGCAAGGTGGGCCTTCCTTTTGCAGAAAAGGCCAAACTTACTAACCCACCTCGACAGGCCCTCTCTTGAAAGACCCCTCCCAACTTCACTTAAAGCCCACCTTGACGGAGAGCAACATGTGGTGCGAGTCAGCAGAGACCGTGGCAGAAAAGGCCAAACTTACTAACCCACCTCGACAGGCCCCACCTTTTGAAAGTCCCCTCTCACCTTTACTTGCGCGTTACGACCCCACCTTGCCTTGATGCCCACCTTGGATCACAGCCCACCTTGACGGAGAGCATCATATGGTGCAAGTCAGCAGCAGCGGTGGCGGAGAGGCCAACCTCAAGAACCCACCTCGACAGGCCCTCTCTTGAAAGACCCCTCCCAACTTCACTTAAAGCCCACCTTGACAGAGAGCAGCATGTGGTGCGAGTCGGCAGAGGCGGTGGCGGAGAGGCCAAACTCCCCTGCCAGTGGCGTGAGCGTGGTTATGAATAGCATGCGGTCATGCTCCGCTCGCTGGGAGGGAGAGGAGAGAGGGAGAGAGGGGATAGGGAAGGGTGGCCGTCTGGATGAGCTGATGAGCTCGGGGCATGGGGGAGCATGGAGTGAGCGTGGTGAGGAACAGCATGAGGTCATGCTCTGCTCGCTGGAGTGGTGGAGGGTACGGGAGAGAGGAGCGAGGGGAAAGAAGAGGACCCAACACGCACCTCCAGCGCGCGAGTGAGGCCCGGCGGACCCAACACACACATTCTCCTCCAGCACGTCCCGGCGGTACCCCATGGCCGATGAGACTCTACCTACCCACCACAGCACACTCCTAATTGGCCATGCCATTGCCACGCCAGTACAGAACACACAGCACACCCAATGCCCACAGCACACACAATCCCCACAGCACGCACCTCAAGCGCGCGCGTGAGGCGCACGTTCTCCTCCAGCACGTCCCGGCGGTACCCCATGGCCTTCTGGGCCGACCCCATCAAGTTCTGCTGCTGCCCGTCAAATGCCTGTGATGTGGTATGTGATGAGATGTGATGTGATGTGATGTGACGTGACGTGACGTGACGTGACGTGATGTGATGTGATGTGATGTGATGTGATGTGATGTGATGTGAACGTGATGTGATGTGATGTGATGTGATGTGATGTGATGTGATGTGATGTGATGTGATGTGATGTGATGTGATGTGATGTGATGTGATGTGATGTGAATGAACGTGATGTGAATGTGATGGGATGTGAATAGCACACAAAACAAGCAATTAGAACATCCTTGAGGCGCCTAGATATTGAAGCATATGATATGAGCACCACAGCAAAAGGGCATAGGGGGGATTTGAGCATGAGTGGGGCGAGAAGGGGATGAAGTTTGATAGGGCTCCAGGCTAGAAGCAGTGGATGGAAGAGGGAATGAGAAAATTGTGGTTAAGTGCGGTGAGGTGCGGTGCCGTGCGGTGAGGTGAGGTGAGGTGAGGTGGGGTGCGGTGCGGTGCGGTGAGGGTTCTCACCAGCCGCAGCTCTGACATCCGGCGCTCCAGCGACCGCTTCTCCGCCTGCAGCTGTGCCTCCTGCTCGCATCAGCAATGTGATACAGGAATGATGTAGCATCGACAATAATTGAAAAGACTTTTGTTTTGAGTCGACTCAAAAGTTTCCTCGCATCAGCAATGTGATACAGGAATGACTGATGTAGAATCGGCATTCATTGAGGCACCTAAAAAAAGCACGAGCAATACGACACAGAAATGATGTAGCAGGAAGGGGGTGGGGTGGGGTGGGGGGAGATTACGAAGCAGGCAGGAGGAGGGAGGGGTGAGGTGCGTTGATCGTTGTAACGTCTCGAAAAGTGGTTCTCAGCCTGCATCTCTGCTCACGCCCACAGTCACACACAAACACCCCTGCATGGAGCTGTCCACCGCACCACAACCCATCCCATCCCACCCCACCCCACCTATGGTGCTGACATTGGCATGTTAACATGCCTGCATGCCCTCTTGAGTCAACTCACCCGCGCCTGGGAAGCAGCCAGCAGCTTGTCCTTGCTGCGAACCTGCTCCTCCAATGATGCCACCCGCTGCATCAGCTCGCCCACATTCACACTCACAATCACAGTGACAGTCACAGAGACATACAGATCACGCACACACATCAGATAACAAGCAGGCAACTCACCCGCGCCTGGGCAGCAGCCAGCAGCTTGTCCTTGCTGCGAACCTGCTCCTCCAACAACGCCACCCGCTGCATCAGCTCTCCCACGTTCACACTCCCAGTCACAGTCACACACAGACCCTTCTGTCTGGCACTGCACGTATCCATCTTTGATTCTTTGCAAGACAAGCACTCAACTCACCCGCGCCTGGGCAGCAGCCAGCAGCTTGTCCTTGCTGCGAACCTGCTCCTCCAACGATGCCACCCGCTGCATCAGCTCGCCCACGTTCATGGACCTGTCTCCGCCGCCCGCCGACCCACTAGGGCCGGACGCTGCCGCCCCACCCGTCGACCGAGTCAAGTCGTTTGTGAAGGGCTGGTGAGAGCGGAGCGGAGGGAAGAGAAGAGAAAGAAATGTATTGGAGATTTACTCTGAGATACAGTTGCTCAAAAGTAGGAAAGCCGCTTGACTAGGTTTGGAGTTCCAGAAAAGAAAAACGGAGGTAGTGGTTTGGAGTTCCAGATAAGAAGAAAGGGTTGGCTTTTTGTGGACTGAACTAGATAAGAGAGTGGAAAACAGAGTATTCGGGAAGGAGGGGAGAAGAGGGGGGTGGGGACAGGATTGGGGGAGGCGGGGAGGGGAGGAATGCCAAAGACAAGAATTAAGAATGAGTAGGCTCTCTCTACCGCTCCCTTCTATATATCCACTCTCTTCTTTCCTATGTCACCTGCAGAGAAGCAAGCTGGCGTGATGACGTGGAGTTGGAGGGGTGCACAGTCAGCGACTGCTGGTCAAACGGAGTCAACGCCAGGCTGTCACGCTCCCCATCCAGGTCATGCCCCGTCAGCCCGCCCCCCACCCCTCCGTTCATCAACCCATTCGCTCCACCACCCTCCCCTCCTGTCCCCAGTCCCCCTCCTTCTCCCCCTCCCCCTCCCCCTGCGCCTCCCCCCGCTCCCCCCCCTGCGCCGCTCCCAGCTCCGCCTCCCCCTGCTGCCTGCGCCACAGCAGCAGCCAGAGAACCGTTTACAGACAGCTTCTGAAGCAGTCGCTCCAGCAGAGCTGCTTCCAAGTCCTTCTCTCCTCCTCCCCCTCCCCCTCCTCCTCCCATTCCTACCATTCCTCCGTCTCCACCCCCTCCCATTCCCCCTCCTCCTCCCAGCCCTACCCCTCCTCCGTCCCCTACCATCCCGCCCAAATGCCCAATACCACCTTCCCCAGCAACCACCTGATCTGATCCTAGCAGCCCCCCCATTCCACCACTGTTACCACCAGCCATTCCTGGTGCTACAGCTGCTGCTACAGCAGCCATAATCCCTTCGCCTCTCCCTCCCCCTACTGCCCCTTCAGCCCCACCTATTCCCACTACAGCAGGAGCAGCAACACCGATACCTCCTACTCCTGCTGCTGCACTGCCTATTCCCACTATCTGCGGACTTCCAACTAAAGCGCCACTAAAACCGCCTGGATGGCCACTAAACGCGCCCGCCCCTGCTACGCCTGCAACAGTTGCACCTGCCCCAGATAATCCTGGACTGAGCCCCGCGCCTGTACTGGCGGAAGGGGGAAGGCGCGCGGAGGAAGGGGAGAGCAGCCCGTCCACGTCAGGAGGCGCGGAACTTGCTAGCGCCTGGGGGAGTGGGGGGAGAGCAAGGCGAGGAGAGTATGGGTCGAGAAAAAGAAACTCAAGGGCATCAGAATTGGGTCTATAAGGTGGCACACGAAAGGAGGGCAGGGATTGAAACGACGCAAGAACCCAACCCGAGTTGCTTTAAAAAGGGAGTGGAGGGAGAGGGTAACGGGAGGCGGGGGGAGGGGATGCGAGAGGCGAGCACGACGAAGGGAGGGAGAGGGGGAAGGGGGTTGGGGGGCGGGGCGGGGGGGACGGGGGGAGGAAGGAGGGGGTTTGTGACACGAGCGCTCACGCCGTTGCTCATCTGCCATTCGAGCACGCGCAGCTGGGAGCGGAGGAATTCGTTCTCGATGGCCTGCTTGCGGATCTCCACCTCCGCCTCATCCAACGCGCGCTGCCACGCCTCCGCAAGCTGCTGCTCCGGCTCCGCTGCTCCTGCGCCCCCTGCTCCTTCCGCTCCCCCTCCTCCTGCCCCCCCTGCTTCTCCCGCTGGCACTCCCCCTGCCTCCCCTGCTCCCGCGGCCCCTGACCCTCCTGCTCCCGCTGTCCCTTGTGCTCCGGTCAAGGCCCCGTGCCCCCCTTGCCCCCCAACCCCTCCTCCCCCCTGCTCTTGCGACCCCTGGCCCGCTGCTCCTTGCGCTTCTGTTCCGCTCCCCCCTGCCTCTGCGCCGCCGAGTGCTTCCCCAGTGGCTGCCGCCTCCCCCGCCACGACCGCGCCTGCAGCGCTGCTCTCAGCGCTGCTCTCGGCGGCTGGGGGATTAGGTGGTTCTGAGGTCGCCGCCCCACCGAGTCCCGCTCCTGCTGTTGCTCCTTCTTCGGCTGCTGCTGCTGCTTCTGCAGATGTTACCTTTTCTACTGCTCCTGCTGCTGCTCCTGGCGCTGCCGCCGGAAGCGAAGGGTCCAGCGCGGAATCGCTAAGGTAAGTGTCTAACGCAGAAGGCTGTAGCGAGGAAGGCTGTAGCGCGGAAAGCTCTGGTGAAGCTTCGGATATGGGACCAGGGATGATCGAGGACGGCTCGTCCAGGGAAGGAGGATGCGGAGCAGAGACCGCAGCTACAGCCGGCATTACCGAGGCTTTCTGAAGCGTAAGAAACGGGAAAGTAGAGAGCAGGCGGGGACCGAGCAAAAAAAATGAACAGGCAAAACGGAAGTCAGGACAATTTTTTTTTCTTATGCTTGTGAATAGTGGCAACAGCTGCCGATATTATACATTAATAGATGATCAAACAGCGATGGGAACAGGACAGACGAATTCTGATATGCTTAAAAAACAGCATCGAAAGCAGGAAAAACATAGATTGTGATGAATTTCCGGTTATGGCTAGTGAATAACCACAGGCATTTACTTTGTTCCAGGACTAACAGCCTTCTTCCAAAGCCTTTTAGATTCCTACCTTGTGTGCCCCAGGCTGGCACGCTGCTGTTTACTGCTGCTTCGCAATCGTTTCCCACTATTCCTGCGACATTCGCCAGCGGAACAAACAGTCAAGAATATGGTTGTGAGAATTCCCAGAACTCGCAAGCTGCCGTTTACTGCTGCTGCTCAATCGTGCCCCGCTATCACTGCGACATTCGCCAGCGGAACAGACGGAATACTAGTGCTTAGGAAGGTTTGAAAGGAAAGAAAGAAAGAAATTATGTGTAATGATTAAGGTAAGGCTAATGAGAATTAATTTGGGTCCAATGACGTCGAAGGCGACACCTGATATTCATTCAGTCACGAAGGTGATACGACCGTGTAGCTACTAGTACAGGAAAATCAACAATCTATGAAGCTAGTTTCCGGCGGAGCAGTCACGGAAGCATCGTCCTCTAATAAGAATAAGATGCGATGTCTGTAGCGACTGGAGCACTCGGCAAGTAACCGGTTGGCCTAAGGTACTATGCTTCTCAAACACCAACGAAATGCCTTGGTCAGACAGACGCATTTAGGAAAATAACAAGATTTTGAATTGATTTTGAGGTGCAGTCTGCTCCAGCGCTGCGGGAAATTGGTTGGATAAACAACCTTGATCCCGAACCCTAATTGATCCTGGTCAGCTATGACCTGTACGCACCCAAATGGCCGGCATAGCGACTGGATAGCACGCTACGCGACTCCAGGCCACAATGCGAATGGTGCTCCTTTCGCGAAATCGGATGGCCCTCTGGTTTTGGAAAATGATGAAACCAGACTTGGACAAGCGGCAAAGCAATGTCAGGGAGCCATGAATGGATCACAGACGTGTTCAGTTTATTCCGAGTTGTGCTTGCACTGTTCCTGGGCTTGTTTCTGTGGTTTCTGTGGTTTCTGTGGGATGGTCGACTGGTTGGTGGTCAGGGAGGGGTCATTTCATGGGAACTTCAAGGTCGCGAAGACAATTTGAAACTTACCAGGTTAGAAGTAACCAAGATACCGGCCTCGCCGAGGAAAGGCAGCTTTCGCCCAGTCCGTTGTGGAAGCGGTTGTGGGGACAAGCGAAGGCGAAGAGTCGGAGGCATTCAACCGCCTGACGAGAAGTTGACGGCCAGCGGTTGGAGGAGCTCTGTTTCGGCCAAAATACATCCGGTTTGACTGATGATTCTGTGGGCGGTTGCTTTGTAAGCGCGTACCTCTTAATAACTTCCTCGTCTTCAGAATACCTTTCCTGGGAGATTAAAGCCGGAAGCCCAAATTGCACAAGTTTTAAAAGGATGACGCGAGGGGTTTTTTCTGGGTTGGGTTTTGGCGAGTGATTTCGATTTCGGGCATTTCGTTTTTTTCGCCAAACCCAGCCAGCCCACGTATTTCGCCCTGGCGGTTGTGTCAGCACCCGAAAGTCCCAAATTGCAGGTGCGCTACTTTTCAAAGCTTGCACACTGCACTTCGTCAAGTTTTAAAACCGGGGTGCACATTCAGCTGAATGTGCATCAAAGGTTATCCCTTGACTGAGTGGGTTACGAGGTGTGCTTTCAACCCCTTCGAGTCGAAATTCGTTTCCCCCCTCCCCCGCAATTTCGTTTCCCCACGCCCCCGCAATTTCATTTCCCCCTCCCCGTCGAAATTCGTTTCCCCCCTCCCCCGCAATTTTGTTTCCCCCCTCCCCCGCAATTTCGTTTCCCCCCCCTCCCGCCAATCTGTTTCATCCCTCCCGCCATTCGGTTTCACCCACACTTGCCATTTCACCCCCTCCCGCCACCTACGAAATGCCCGAAGCTCTAGCGGAATCATTTTTTTGTCGCCCCTCGTGAGCCAATCACTGTTTTTCTCCAAACCCCCTTCCCAACATCTCAAGCCGAACCGCGTTGAATGTGCACCCTGGTTTTAAAAGCATGACCCACGCGCCTCGCAATTTGGGACTCGGGCTTTAAATGATGATTGACGAGGCATTCATTTTTGTCAACAGATATACTTGGTAAAACGAGGAGAAACCAGTGCCAGCAATACTGGCGGGGATTCTAAAAACGGCGACGTGGATTCATCCATCCACGAGCGAGCCGTCATTTCGCTTTTATCACCTGCGACGAACTCGATAGAACGTCGGCATTCCGCACCGCGATGATTGGCGCGGCCGCAGGCATGGCTGCGCTTCTGCTCCGCCGCTCCCCAGTCCCCTCCCCAGTTACATTGAGGGAGCGCACCCCTCAATGGGCAAGCATCATCGCTCCTCCTCGCCCCTTTTCCGCACGCCTGTCTGCCTGCCCCTCGACCTTGCCCCTTTCGCGACGCGAGGCGTTTTGAAGTCGAGACACCAGATCAGATACCTGGTACTACTTTTCCCGCATGTAATCGTTTTAATGGTGTATTCGATATTTTGAATCCAGAAACAGATTGTTCACGTTTCCCATTCACGTCAGGTATCATGACCTCAATCTACCGTAATTCGGCGAAGCCGTCGAAGCCAGGTTCTAGTAGGGAACACCTGGCACTTAAAAACTCTTTTCGAGTTGGTTTGCCCCAACCCCAACCTCAAGCGTTTCGGCAAATGTCGCGTCGAGTCTCTCTTGCCTTGACCTCACCCTCACGAATTCAGCCCCTCTCATCCCATCTCATTAGTTCAACACAGTAGTATCTCAATCACACTGTCTGGTCTGGACCAGCAACAGCAGATCGAAGTAAAGTCGCGCTCGCTCCTCATAGACGAACCATACTACGTTCTTACTTTGTCTTGGCCGCGCGTCTCAATCAAGTTTGCTAATATATTGCGAGACGTGTGTGGCAGGAGTTTTTTTTTTGTTTAGACCACTACGAAGTCACCACAGGTGTGACGCCTCGTGAGCAGCAGGAATATGGAAACGGCTAATCTAATGCCTCCGGCAAGGTCCGCGGACGATTCTAGACGTCCAACCCTTCTGCGTGCAGTGCCGAACGAAGGAGCCGCCGCGCTCGACAGCCAGACGGGGAGTGGCCCCGCGAGAAACGGCGCAATGTGCTGGGCATCCGCTTATGCGTCTACTGCCCTTAGAGCCCGAGAAGATTTAGAATGCAACGAAAAATATGATGACGATGGTGATGGCGATGGCGATGGCGACAGTGATGGTGGTGGCAGTGGCGACGCCAGGGTCAGCGACGGTCAATGTCCTTCAAACAATTTTCTCGGCGAGTACTACAGTGACTCGTGGAAGCTCGCTGACGTGGCGTTATTCTGTAAAAAATGTCATTCTGATTGGAGGGGGAGTTTACTCCGCGGGCTGTTCTGGGCCGTCCCGCTGCTGCTCCTCGTGCTCGTGCCGCAGTTTGCAGCGCTGACGAGCGGTCCGAGAGACCTCACGCGGCTCGTTGACTTTCCTCGAGGCGTAAGAGTGGGAGGTGAGGGGAATGTGATGGTGGAGATTGAGACGGAGAGCGGAACGGTAACGGAGACGGCAGCTGAATCGGTAACTGAGACGGTAACGGAAGCGGAGGGGGACGAGATGGGTGTGGCGGAAGAGGGGGGTGCGTATGTTCCCGTGGGGAAGGAAGCGGGGGTTGCGGAAAATGGGGATGGGGGGGTTGCGGAGAACGAGGACGCGGGGATTGCGGGGAACGCGGAGGCGGGGGTTGCGGAGAACGAGGATGAGGATGTGGACAAGAATGGTGGAAGGCAGAGCGAAGAGCGCGGGAATCCGGAAAAGAAGTTGGGGGGAGACGAAGTGGAATTACAGAGGGAACCTCCCGCTGTTGAATCGGGGAAGACCTCGTCTCGCGAAGTTAGCGAGCCGAATCAGGCTATTGGTAACCACGACGCTGAGCGTGCGAACGACGCGAGCTTGCGAAACGAAAACGCAGCGAACCGCGCGACCTCAGAGGTCGAAACGCGGATAGGCAGCGACACCGACGAGTTGAAGGCGGAAATAAAGCAGCGAACTCTGGGTGACGTGGAGCGTATTGATTCGCCGAGGGTTCTGAAGTACCTTCATGCGAACCCGAGATTAACATGGGAGACGGAGTGGTTACCAGTTCGGCGAGAAGATTACTTTCGCCCTGGTGAAAAATATTACTTTGTTACCGGGCAGCGCGATTTTTGTGCGGGGATTCGCCACTTCCATCGCAGCCTGTCGTGCAAGATCGCGGAAGCGGCTTTTCTGAATCGCACGCTCGTACTCGATATGGGGTTGTGCATAAACGGATTGCACAATGGCGGGACTGCGAGTGTTCACGGTCTGCATTACTACTACGATCTGCCCTCCCTCAGGTAAGACCGTCCCTCAAGTAACACCTCTCCAGCGTCCCCAACCCCCTCTCTACTCGTTCCGCAACCCCCCCACCCCCCTCTAGTCCCTCCAGGCTCAACCCCCTGCACTGCTCCCTGCAAGCCTGCACGGGTTACTCATTAACTCACTTTTCTATTCCCCTCTCTTTCTCGCAGGGCCGCCAGGTTTACCCCCTTGAATGGGTTCCTGCAAGGCCTGAGGGAGTGGCGGCGCAAGCAGGGGCAGAGGGGAGAGGAGGCAACTGGAAGGCGGTTGAGGGGTGTATCTGCAGGGGAGGGTGTATCTCAAGGGGATGGTGTATCTGCGGGGGAGGGTGTATCTGCGGGGGAGGATGTATCTGCGGGGGAGGGTGTATCTGCGGGGGAGAGTGTATCTGCGGGGGAGAGTGTGCCAGCTGCAGCTCTTTTTGCCCGTGTGGTTCAAGCAGACACAAGGACTAGGGTAAGTTCCCAACCAACTACTTTTAAGAATACTCCAAGGCAGGAAGGCGGGGGTATTTGTTAGTCATAATCTGCGATGTTTTTATTCAAGCTCCCACACATGCGCCACTGCTCTAACTCCCCCACTTTCCCCTCCCCCCTAATCCACCTCTATCCCCTCTCTCCCCCTCCACCTCCTCGCCCTATGAGCAGGCCATAGCACAGGACAGCAGCACCCCGCTCATCATTCCGTGTAGCGCAAGCACCCTCAATAGCCACCTCTCCCCAACTCTCCCCGCCCCCAATCCCCCTCCCTCCCTCCATCTGCAGGTCATAGCGCAGGACAGCAGCACCACGCTCATCATAAGAGACGGGCACTATGGCTTTGAACCATGCCGGGGCGAGCTCTCTCACTGGCCCAACCTGGTGAGCGCTTCTAGCTTTGAGTCGACTCACAAGTCAGCTTGCTGCAATGTCACACGCCACTACGGCTTTGAACCGTGCCGGGGCGAGCTCTCTCACTGGCCCAACCTGGTGAGCGCTTCTAGCTTTGAGTCGACTCACAAGTCAGCTTGCTGCAATGTCACACGCCACTACGGCTTTGAACCGTGCCGGGGCGAGCTCTCTCACTGGCCCAACCTGGTGAGCGCTTCTAGCTTTGAGTCGACTCACAAGTCAGCTTGCTGCAATGTCACACGCCACTACGGCTTTGAACCGTGCCGGGGCGAGCTCTCTCACTGGCCCAACCTGGTGAGCGCTTCTAGCTTTGAGTCGACTCATAAGTCAGCTTGCTGCAATGTCACACGCCACTACGGCCTTGAACCGTGCCGGGGCGAGCTCTCTCACTGGCCCAACCTGGTGAGGTGAGTGCTTCTAGCTTTGAGTCGACTCACAAGTCAGCTTGCTGCAATGTCACACGCCACTACGGCTTTGAACCGTGCCGGGGCGAGCTCTCTCACTGGCCCAACCTGGTGAGCGCTTCTAGCTTTGAGTCGACTCACAAGTCAGCTTGCTGCAATGTCACATGCCACTACGGCTTTGAACCGTGCCGGGGCGAGCTCTCTCACTGGCCCAACCTGGTGAGCGTTACTAGCTTTGAGACAGTCTTTTGTGGTGTGTTTTGAGTCGACTCACAAGTCAGCTTGCTACAATGTCACACGCCGCTACAGCTTTGAGCCATGCCGGGGTCCCTCTCCCGGTGACAATGTCAGCTCTCTCACTGGCCCAACCTGGTGAGCGATCTCTCTCCCCCCCCCCCCCCCCCCCCCTCCCTCCTTTCCTAAGTCGACTCACTGGCCTCTGCAACTGGCCCAATACAGTGAGTGCTCCTACTTGCTCACCCTCTATCTTCTTTCCCCAACCCAATTTTCGAGGCGCCTCAAAATTTTGAGGCGATTTTTTAGGCGCGTCAAAAAAAAATTAGGCGGTTTTTTAGGCGCTTCAAAAACCTACTTGCTCACCCATCGATCTTCTTGCACCAACCCGCCCACCCACCCATCCATCCATGACAGAGGCTTGACTACATCACATCAGATGAAACCGCCATTCTCTTTCGCCCGGAGCTGAGGGGCCTGGCAGCCAACATGTCTCAATCCATGAATGGGGGGGACTATGACGCCGTGAGGGTGAGGAGGGGAGACAAGCTCAACACCGACGTGTGGCCACACGTGGCAAACGACACGAGCCCTCCCGCGTAAGTCAGTCACCCACTCCTTACTCGAATTCAGCTGCATTAGAGTGCTAATAAGTGAGACTCAAGGAGCTGAGGGGCCTGGCAGCCAGCATGTCTCAGTCCATGAATGCGGGGGACTATGATGCCGTGAGAGTGCGCCGGGGACAAGCTCAACACCGCCGTGTGGCCACACGTGGCAAGGACCTCAGGGGACTGGTAGCAAACATGTCAGTCGATGAATGCGTAAGAGTGACTAAGACGCTGTGAGAGTGAGGAGGGGATCCCTCCAGCATAAGTCAATAACAGTAACTGAATTATTCAAGTGACTCCAATGAGGCTGAGTTAGCATGATAGTAACTGAATTATGGAAGTTAATGCTGCTGGTGAGCATGCTTCATGTCTTGACATGCCTGGTCAATATTTTCCAACAAATGCTTCTCTGTTACCTGTCTTTTCTCCCTTTCTTGCGTTGTTACAGTCTCCTGGAGAAACTCCCCCGGTTCGTTGCACCTGGACGCACGCTGTACATTGCAACGAATGAGAAAACGCCCGGGTTCTTCGACCCGCTGAAGGCGATTTTTGCGATTCGGCAATTTTGGGACTTCGACCACCTCTGGGCGCCTGGCACACCCTGGTTCGACGGATACGCGCGAATCCTGGGTGCGAGTCCCAAGCTCGACCCTTACATGGAGGTACAGTAATTAAGATGCTATTTGTATCTTCATTTAGTGACTCATTAAGCTGGTCCTTAATCGTGTGCGTGTGTAAGGGGTGGGTCGGGGATGGGACGGGAGGAGGTGGGGTGTGAGTTCTTGTGTGCATGTGGAGGGGTGGGTGGAAGGGTGGGTGGAAGGGTGGTTGGGTGGGTGGGTGGCAAGGTTCAAAAATACGACCGTATTTTTGAAAATTTACCGTAAATTACGGAATCGTAATTTACGGTCGTAAATTACGGTAAAAAACGGTGTGACCTTGCAAAATTAGGTTGGTTTAAAAATACGGTCGTAAATTACGACCGAAAATTTGAAACCGAGTTTGTGTATAGCGAATTTCGACATTTCCCAACCGTCACCCTGCTTGTGAGAATTTTCGTGCGCCCAAATCCACTCGAGTGTGTTTTTTTCCCGAGTTGGGAGTGTGGGGAGGGAGTAGGAGCAGTTTTAGCCTAAAGGTAGGTACTAGGTAGGCTTAGCAATGGTAGTGGTGTTGTGGTCCATTGTAGGCTTGTTTCTCTGTAGTGTAGTTTGTTGTCGCCTTCCTGGTCATCGTTGTAAGCGTTCTAGTAGTTTCTGGAAAAAAAACAATTGCTGCAAAAAATGTCCAACAAAAAAACGACCGTATTTTTGGCAAAACCACCGTAAATTACGACCGTAATTTACGACCCGTAATTTACGATTACCGTATTTTTGAACCTTGGTGGGTGGGTGTGCGTGTGCTTGCATGTGTGTGTGTGTGTGTGTCTGTGTGTGTGTGTGTGTGTTTGTGTGTGTGTGTGTGTGTGTGTGTGTGTGTCATGTGTCGTCGTGTGTCTGACCACCTCCTTTTCTTGTTTTACCTCGCCTTGCGTGGTGCCACAGGCCACTGTGGAGTACAATGTTCTGTTTGCCGCTGTGTGTGCGTGCGCATGTGTATCCGCGTGTCCTCCCGTGTCTAGGTGTTTCTGACCACCTCCTTTTCTTCTTTTATCCCTTGTGCGGTGCTACAGGCCATTGTGGAGTACAAGGTTCTGTTTGCCGCGAGAACCAAAGTTTTCACGTTCAACAACCTGACGAGCGATGCAGAGGGTGGAATAAGGCCTTCAGCCATGAAAATGCACTGACTGAGACCGTGCAACAAAGACATGCCATGATGCCATGAAAAAAAGGTATTAACTGAGATCTTGGAAAGGCATTCAGTGACCTTAAGGAAAACAGCTGTATTGTCCTAGAGCGTTACTACTGCCTCTTGTATAGTGTTCCATGCTTCTCATATAATAATGCATGCTCTATCATGCATGCCATGGCCCATACACGGCCTGTGGATCTGTTTGCTGCCAATTTGGTGCCATACTGAGTGACCATGTGTGGAATGATGCATTATAAGATGCTGCTGTTTTGAGCTAGGCCATATTTATTACACTCAGTACAACCTCTTGCCTCCGACCATATAAAACATTTTTTAGCAAATCTGTACAGTAACTTAGATGGTTCTACTCAGCACAGCGACAATTTTCTAGAAGCCGATTGCCAGCAACCTTTGTGTGGATTCTCGTTTAAAAACGGAGACATAGATTCATCCATCCACGAGCGAGCCGCTAGTTCGCTTTTATCATCCGCAAACTCGATAGAGCGTCAGCTTACAGGGGCGCCATGATTGATTGTCTATATTCCGCGAACACAGGAGTTGCGCGGCCGCAGTCAAGGGAATGCTGTTCCGCCGCTCCGCAGTCAGGGGAGGGCATCCTTCATTGAGCACAGCACAGTATCCTCGCCTCGCTCGCTCTTCCTCTCCCCATCATTTTCCGTACATACGACGCCTGCCGGCCCGTTCTCTGGCACCGCTCGCGACTCGACTTCTGCTAAATGGCTTCGATCGAAAATCTGTTTCGTAGTCTGCATGCGGACGACGAACACTGAGATGGTGTGCCCTGCCCCCAACTTCACTTGACCCAAGCGCCTTCAGACCCGAACCTAGCCATTCTGTTCCGAATACAGCAGCCCATCAGGGAGGAGAGGCTCCCTCAGTAAATCAAAATCTTGATTCCGGTTCAGTCAGCAGCAGCTCGAAGTTAGTCGCACCTCATCGACGAACCAGAATCAAGCATATAAGCTCCTTCTTCTATGTCTGTCCGGGGCGCGCGTCTCAATCAAGCCATCCCTCTCGCTCGACATTGACAATCTTTATGTAATCAATCGCGAGACGTAAGTAGGAGGATTTTAGTCCACTAGAGAAAGTCACCACGGCGTGTAAGTAGCAGGAGCAGGAGCATGGAAAGGGCTATTCTAATGCCTCCGGCAAGGTCCGAGGACGAGATTGAGTGTCCAGTCCTTCCGCATCATGCAGTGCCGAACGAAGGAGGCGCCGCCGCGCTCGACAGCCAGACGGGGAGTGCCCCCGCGAGAAACGGCGCAATATTCGGCGATGATCTCGGCGCGATGTGCGGGGCCTGCCCGCATTCATCTACCGCCCTACGAGCCCGAAATGAGCTAGACGGCAATGGCGACGCCGCCGAAGGCGATGGTGATGGCGGTGGCGGTGGCGGCGGCAGTGACGGCGGCAGTGGCGGTGGCGGTGGCAGTGGCAGTGGCGGTGTTGGCGACGGTAAATGTCCTTCAAATTCTTTTCTCGGGTACTTTAGTGACACGTGGAAGCTCGCTGACGTGGCAATAAGCTTGAAAAAAGGTCATTCTGATTGGAGGGGGCGTTTACTACTCCACGGGCTGTTCTGGGCCGTCCCGCTGCTGCTCATCGTGCTGGTGCCGCAATTCGCGGCGCTAACGAGCGGTCCGAGAGACCTCACGCGGCTCGTTGACTTCCCGCGAGGTGTAAGAGCGGGAGGCGAGGGGGATGTGATGCCGGATATTGAGACGGAGAGCGGGGCGGTAACGGAACCTGCTGCGGCAGCGGCGCGGGATGTGGCGGAAGCGGAGTATAAGAATGCTGAAGGGGCCTTGGGGAAGCAAGAGGGGCTTGCGGCAAGCGGTATCGCAGCGGAAGGGGGCGCGGGGGATATGGCGGAAGAGGGGGACGCGGATGTTCAAGCGGGGGAGGATGCGGGAGTAGCGGAGAGCGAGGACGCGGGGATTGCGGAGAATGCGGAGGCGGGGAACGCGGAGAATGCCGAGGCGGGGAATGCGGAGGCGGGGAATGCGGAGAACGAGGGTAAGAGTGAGGAGGTGGACGAGAATGGCGGGGGACAGAGCGAAGGGCGAGGGAATCCGGAAAATGGGTCGGAGAGAGACGAATCTGACAAAGGGTCGGAGGGAGACAAATCGGGACCTGAAAGGGAATCTTCCGCTGTTGTTGAACCGGGGGAGACGTCTTCTCGCGAAATTAGCGAATCCAACCAAGCGACTGGTAACCACGAGCGTGCGAACGACGCGAGCCCGCCAAACGAACGCGCGGCGAACCGCTCGAGTTCAGATTCTGAAACGCAGGGAGCAGGCGACGCGGACGAGTTACTTGCGGAACTGGAGCAGCGAACTCTGGGTGACGTGGAGCCTCTTGATTCGCCGAGGGTTCTGGAGTACCTTCGTATTAATCCGCGATTAACGTGGGAGACGGAGTGGTTACCAGTTCGGCGAGAAGATTACTTTCGCCCGGGCGAAAAATACTACTTTGTTACTGGGCAACGCGATTTCTGTGCGGGGATTCGCCACTTCCATCGCAGCATGTCGTGCAAGATCGCAGAAGCGGCTTTTCTGAATCGCACGCTTGTACTCGATATGGGGTTGTGCGTTAACGGATTGCACAGCGGCGGGTCTGCGAGTGTTCACGGCCTGCATTACTACTACGATCTGCCCTCCCTCAAGTAAGACCGTCCCTCAACACCCTTCCTCAGGTAACACCCTCCCCCCACCCCACCATCCCCCCCCCCGAATCTCCCGTCTCGTTCTCTCTTTCCCCCCCGCAGGACCGCCAGGTTACCCCCCCTCTCCTCAGGGCCAGGCGGAGAGGCCGTTGCTCGCGAGTGACTCGGTTACACCCAGCCCCCATCCCCACATCCCGCCATCCCCCCCCCCCCCCCCCCGCCATCACGGGCTGGCGGAATGGCCGCAGCTGGGGGATGACTCGACCCCTTGCACAGGTTCTTGCACGGCCTGGCAGTGGCTTGGGAGTGACTCACTGTCTCTCTTTTTTTTTTCCCTTTCTCTCTATTTTCGCTTTCTCTCCTTCCTCCCCCCCCCCCCCCCCCCCCCTTTTCTTTATTTTCCTTCCTCTCTTTTTCCCTTTCGCTCCTTTTTCCCCTCTCACTCTTGCAGGGCCGCCAGATTCACCCCCCTGAACGGGTTCCTGCAGGGTCTGAAGGAGTGGCAGCGGCAGCAAGAGCAGGGGGGAGGGGAGGGGAGCAACAGGGGGGAAAAGGCGGATGGAAAGGGGGAGGCCACTGGAGGGCGGTTGAGAGGTGTATCTGCAGAGGAGGGTGTATCTGCAGAGGAGGGTGTATCTGCAGAGGAGGGTGTATCTGGAGAGGAGGGTGTATCTGGAGAGGAGGGTGTATCTGGAGAGGAGGGTGTATCTGGAGAGGAGGGTGTATCTGGAGAGGAGGGTGTATCTGCAGGGGAGGGTGTGTCAGCTACAGCCCTGTTTGCCCGTGTGGTGCAAGCAGACACACGGACCTGGGTGAGTGAGTAACTTCTCTTGAGAATACTCAAGGACAGGTAAATTAGTCTTAATCTGCAACCTCCTCCTAGTTGGCTGGGAATAAGGCCTCCGCAGCCCACCTGTTTACTCTTGACAACCTCCTAATTGACAGGGAATGTAGAGCAGACACAAGGACAGGGTGAGGTGAGGTGAGGTACTATCGACTCCTGATAACACCTCACCTCACCCTGTCCTTGTGTCAACCCAAAGACTGGAGTGAGTCACCTCACCGGGTGAGTGACTAACGACTCCTGAGAACACTCAACCCAAAGACTGGAGTGAGTCAGATCAGTCATACGGTTCTCTGCGATGTTTTAGTCGATTAAAGACGACACAAGAACACGGGTGAGAGACCATGTGTGGGAAGACTCAAAGAAGACTCAGTCACACATTGCATGCAACAGCCTAGGTCGCTGCACCACAAAGCATGCTACAGCCTAGGTCGCTGCACCACAAAGCATGCTACAGCCTAGGTCGCTGCACCAAAAAGCATGCTACAGCCTAGGTCGCTGCACCAAAAAGCATGCTACAGCCTAGGTCGCTGCACCAAAAAGCATGCTACAGCCTAGGTCGCTGCACCAAAACGCATGCTACAGCCTAGGTCGCTGCACCAAAAAGCATGCTACAGCCTAGGTCGCTGCACCAAAAAGCATGCTATAGCCTAGGTCGCTGCACCAAAAAGCATGCTACAGCCTAGGTCGCTGCACCAAAAAGCATGCTACAGCCTAGGTCGCTGCACCAAAACGCATGCTACAGCCTAGGTCGCTGCACCAAAAAGCATGCTACAGCCTAGGTCGCTGCACCAAAATGCATGCTACAGCCTAGGTCGCTGCACCACAAAGCATGCTACAGCCTAGGTCGCTGCACCAAAAAGCATGCTACAGCCTAGGTCGCTGCACCAAAAAGCATGCTACAGCCTAGGTCGCTGCACCAAAATGCATGCTACAGCCTAGGTCGCTGCACCACAAAGCATGCTACAGCCTAGGTCGCTGCACCAAAAAGCATGCTACAGCCTAGGTCGCTGCACCACAAAGCATGCTACAGCCTAGGTCGCTGCACCACAAAGCATGCTACAGCCTAGGTCGCTGCACCACAAAGCATGCTACAGCCTAGGTCGCTGCAACACAAAGCATGCTACAGCCTAGGTCGCTGCACCACAAAGCATGCTACAGCCTAGGTCGCTGCACCAAAACGCATGCTACAGCCTAGGTCGCTGCACCAAAAAGCATGCTACAGCCTAGGTCGCTGCACCAAAAAACATGCTATAGCCTAGGTCGCTGCACCAAAAAGCATGCTACAGCCTAGGTCGCTGCACCACAAAGCATGCTACAGCCTAGGTCGCTGCACCACAAAGCATGCTACAGCCTAGGTCGCTGCACCAAAAAGCATGCTACAGCCTAGGTCGCTGCACCAAAAAGCATGCTACAGCCTAGGTCGCTGCACCAAAAAGCATGCTACAGCCTAGGTCGCTGCACCAAAACGCATGCTACAGCCTAGGTCGCTGCACCACAAAGCATGCTACAGCCTAGGTCGCTGCACCACAAAGCATGCTACAGCCTAGGTCGCTGCACCACAAAGCATGCTACAGCCTAGGTCGCTGCACCACAAAGCATGCTACAGCCTAGGTCGCTGCACCACAAAGCATGCTACAGCCTAGGTCGCTGCACCAAAACGCATGCTACAGCCTAGGTCGCTGCACCAAAAAGCATGCTACAGCCTAGGTCGCTGCACCAAAAAGCATGCTATAGCCTAGGTCGCTGCACCAAAAAGCATGCTACAGCCTAGGTCGCTGCACCACAAAGCATGCTACAGCCTAGGTCGCTGCACCACAAAGCATGCTACAGCCTAGGTCGCTGCACCAAAAAGCATGCTACAGCCTAGGTCGCTGCACCAAAAAGCATGCTACAGCCTAGGTCGCTGCACCAAAAAGCATGCTACAGCGTAGGTCGCTGCACCAAAACGCATGCTACAGCCTAGGTCGCTGCACCAAAAAGCATGCTACAGCCTAGGTCGCTGCACCAAAAAGCATGCTATAGCCTAGGTCGCTGCACCAAAAAGCATGCTACAGCCTAGGTCGCTGCACCAAAAAGCATGCTACAGCCTAGGTCGCTGCACCAAAACGCATGCTACGGCCTAGGTCGCTGCACCAAAAAGCATGCTACAGCCTAGGTCGCTGCACCAAAAAGCATGCTACAGCCTAGGTCGCTGCACCAAAAAGCATGCTATAGCCTAGGTCGCTGCACCAAAAAGCATGCTACAGCCTAGGTCGCTGCACCAAAAAGCATGCTACAGCCTAGGTCGCTGCACCAAAACGCATGCTACAGCCTAGGTCGCTGCACCAAAAAGCATGCTACAGCCTAGGTCGCTGCACCAAAAAGCATGCTACAGCCTAGGTCGCTGCACCAAAACGCATGCTACAGCCTAGGTCGCTGCACCACAAAGCATGCTACAGCCTAGGTCGCTGCACCAAAAAGCATGCTACAGCCTAGGTCGCTGCACCAAAAAGCATGCTACAGCCTAGGTCGCTGCACCAAAAAGCATGCTACAGCCTAGGTCGCTGCACCAAAATGCATGCTACAGCCTAGGTCGCTGCACCACAAAGCATGCTACAGCCTAGGTCGCTGCACCAAAAAGCATGCTACAGCCTAGGTCGCTGCACCAAAAAGCATGCTACAGCCTAGGTCGCTGCACCAAAAAGCATGCTACAGCCTAGGTCGCTGCACCACAAAGCATGCTACAGCCTAGGTCGCTGCACCACAAAGCATGCTACAGCCTAGGTCGCTGCACCACAAAGCATGCTACAGCCTAGGTCGCTGCACCACAAAGCATGCTACAGCCTAGGTCGCTGCACCACAAAGCATGCTACAGCCTAGGTCGCTGCACCAAAAAGCATGCTACAGCCTAGGTCGCTGCACCAAAAAGCATGCTACAGCCTAGGTCGCTGCACCAAAACGCATGCTACAGCCTAGGTCGCTGCACCACAAAGCATGCTACAGCCTAGGTCGCTGCACCACAAAGCATGCTACAGCCTAGGTCGCTGCACCACAAAGCATGCTACAGCCTAGGTCGCTGCACCACAAAGCATGCTACAGCCTAGGTCGCTGCACCACAAAGCATGCTACAGCCTAGGTCGCTGCACCAAAACGCATGCTACAGCCTAGGTCGCTGCACCAAAAAGCATGCTACAGCCTAGGTCGCTGCACCAAAAAGCATGCTATAGCCTAGGTCGCTGCACCAAAAAGCATGCTACAGCCTAGGTCGCTGCACCACAAAGCATGCTACAGCCTAGGTCGCTGCACCACAAAGCATGCTACAGCCTAGGTCGCTGCACCAAAAAGCATGCTACAGCCTAGGTCGCTGCACCAAAAAGCATGCTACAGCGTAGGTCGCTGCACCAAAAAGCATGCTACAGCGTAGGTCGCTGCACCAAAACGCATGCTACAGCCTAGGTCGCTGCACCAAAAAGCATGCTACAGCCTAGGTCGCTGCACCAAAAAGCATGCTATAGCCTAGGTCGCTGCACCAAAAAGCATGCTACAGCCTAGGTCGCTGCACCAAAAAGCATGCTACAGCCTAGGTCGCTGCACCAAAACGCATGCTACGGCCTAGGTCGCTGCACCAAAAAGCATGCTACAGCCTAGGTCGCTGCACCAAAAAGCATGCTACAGCCTAGGTCGCTGCACCAAAAAGCATGCTATAGCCTAGGTCGCTGCACCAAAAAGCATGCTACAGCCTAGGTCGCTGCACCAAAAAGCATGCTACAGCCTAGGTCGCTGCACCAAAACGCATGCTACAGCCTAGGTCGCTGCACCAAAAAGCATGCTACAGCCTAGGTCGCTGCACCAAAAAGCATGCTACAGCCTAGGTCGCTGCACCAAAACGCATGCTACAGCCTAGGTCGCTGCACCACAAAGCATGCTACAGCCTAGGTCGCTGCACCAAAAAGCATGCTACAGCCTAGGTCGCTGCACCAAAAAGCATGCTACAGCCTAGGTCGCTGCACCAAAAAGCATGCTACAGCCTAGGTCGCTGCACCAAAATGCATGCTACAGCCTAGGTCGCTGCACCACAAAGCATGCTACAGCCTAGGTCGCTGCACCAAAAAGCATGCTACAGCCTAGGTCGCTGCACCAAAAAGCATGCTACAGCCTAGGTCGCTGCACCAAAAAGCATGCTACAGCCTAGGTCGCTGCACCACAAAGCATGCTACAGCCTAGGTCGCTGCACCACAAAGCATGCTACAGCCTAGGTCGCTGCACCACAAAGCATGCTACAGCCTAGGTCGCTGCACCACAAAGCATGCTACAGCCTAGGTCGCTGCACCACAAAGCATGCTACAGCCTAGGTCGCTGCACCAAAAAGCATGCTACAGCCTAGGTCGCTGCACCAAAAAGCATGCTACAGCCTAGGTCGCTGCACCAAAACGCATGCTACAGCCTAGGTCGCTGCACCACAAAGCATGCTACAGCCTAGGTCGCTGCACCACAAAGCATGCTACAGCCTAGGTCGCTGCACCAAAAAGCATGCTACAGCCTAGGTCGCTGCACCAAAAAGCATGCTACAGCCTAGGTCGCTGCACCAAAACGCATGCTACGGCCTAGGTCGCTGCACCAAAAAGCATGCTACAGCCTAGGTCGCTGCACCAAAAAGCATGCTACAGCCTAGGTCGCTGCACCAAAAAGCATGCTATAGCCTAGGTCGCTGCACCAAAAAGCATGCTACAGCCTAGGTCGCTGCACCAAAAAGCATGCTACAGCCTAGGTCGCTGCACCAAAACGCATGCTACAGCCTAGGTCGCTGCACCAAAAAGCATGCTACAGCCTAGGTCGCTGCACCAAAAAGCATGCTACAGCCTAGGTCGCTGCACCAAAACGCATGCTACAGCCTAGGTCGCTGCACCACAAAGCATGCTACAGCCTAGGTCGCTGCACCAAAAAGCATGCTACAGCCTAGGTCGCTGCACCAAAAAGCATGCTACAGCCTAGGTCGCT